TGTATTATAGGAGGAAAACATTGCAGTGGGATGAGATCTCAAGTCTGTTGCATGATGGGATAAAAAAACACCAAATAAAGTTTGTTTACGTTAATGACCTTGACCTATATTTCAGGTCACATAAGTCAAATGTGTGAAAATCTGTTAAACAACTTGCATATAATTAACAGTCATTGTGGTTAAATGTATTAATATCTTTGATTTCTTCTGAATGACAAAAAAAAAGTTTGGGTGATGTTTTTGGCCAGTAGCATGCTGAGCATGCATTTTCAAGGTCGCGGGTCAGTTGTGTTACATTACACAGTACACTTGATTTAATGTCTGATTCTTTCATTTATTTTATGTTTGTTACTTTTTCATAGAAGTCCAGTACGGATCTACTTTTCTTTACACATATTTTGTAACAGTTCTGGCAGATCTCATATCCATGAGTTTTTAGTGACAAAATAACACAGTTAAACTTTTTGTAAAAAGAAGAATGAAAACAAAAGATGTTCTCCTTTATGCAATAATATTGTCATTTGTATTTGTTTTTATGTGTTTCATTTCAAATAAAACAATGTTTCATAAAATGAGAAACATATTCCCTTTCATTTTTAGCTCACCTGGTCCTTACGGTGAGCTTCCTTTAAAACGCTACTAGTCCTGAACTGCCCAGTAGATTTTGACTAAATTTGGTCTGGAGCATCCTTAGGCCAAGGGGACTGTATACATGGTGGGTCTGGCCCCCCTTGGGGCTGAGGGGCGGGGCCATATAGGGGAAATAGAGGTAAAACCTTTAAAATCCTTCTTCTACCGTAGGGATTAAGGGTTTTATCCTAATTCAGTATGGAGCATCCTTGGGCCAAGGGGACTCAATTTTGCATAATTGGTGGGTCTGCCCCCCCTGGGGGCCTGAGGGGCGGGCCCAATAGGGGAAATATAGCAAATTCTTTAAAATCCTTCTCCTTCTATAAGAATGAAAGGATTTGTTCCATATTTGGTCAGAAGCATCCTTGGGGGAAGGGGAACACATTTTGTATAAATGGTGGGTCTGGCCCCATTGGGGCACAGGGGTGGGGCCCTATAGGGGAAATATAGCAAATTCTTTAAAATCCTTCTTCTGTTGGAATGAAAGGATTTGTTCCATATTTGTTCTGAAGCATCCTTGGGTGAAGGGGAAGCAATTTTGTATAAATGGCGGGTCTGGCCCCCCTGGGGGCCAAATATGGGAAATTAGCAGATTCTTAAAAATTCTTCTTCTGTAGGAATGAAAGGATTTGTTCTGAAGCATCCTTTGGTAAAGGGGAACCAATTTTATATAAACTGTGGGTCTGGCCCCCCAGGGACCTGAGGGGCAGGGCCCAATAGGGGAAACAGCAAATTCTTCGAATACCTTCTTCTGTACGAATGACAAGATTTTGTCCAAATTTGGTATGAAGCATCCTTGAGTAAAGGGGAACAAATTTTGTATAAACGGTGTGTCTAAACCCCCTGGAGGCATAGAGGTGGGGCCCAATTGGGGAAATAGAGGTAAAACCTTTAAAATCCTACCATAGGGATTAAGGAATTTTATCCTATTCTAGTCTGGAGCATTCTTGAGTCAAGGGGACTCAATTTTGTATAAGCAGTGGGTGTGGTTTCCCAGGGGGCAGAAGGGCGGGGCCCAATAGGAGAAATAGAGGTATAACCTTTAAAATCCTTCTTCGACCATCGGGATTAAGGGATTTTATCCTTATTCAGTCTGGAGCATCCTTGGGCCAAGGGGACTTAATTTTGTATAAACAGTGGGTATGACCCCCCTAGGGGCATAGGGGTGGGGCTCTGTTTGAAGTTTGTTCTCGCTATATCTCAAGTACTGGATGGATCTTTCTGAAAATTCATATGTACTTGCAGCACCTACCATGGAGTGCTACATCCTTACTTCATACCAATTATTTAAAACACATTCAGTGAGTGATACAGGCCCTCTGGGCCTCTTGTCTTCCATTGGGATGAAGGTATTATGACCAAATTTGAACAGTAGCATCCTATGGGGGAAGGGCAATCAATTTTGTAAAATAGGGAAAATAGAAAAATAGCTTTAAAATCCATATTTGGTCGAAAGCATCATTCGGTGAAGGGGAACTTATTTTGTATCAACGGTGGGTCTGACACACCTTGGGCAGAGGGGCAGGGACCAATTCTAGAAACATAGCAAATTCTTCAAAATCCTCCTGGTTGTTCATAACTAGTAGCGATTTTTAGGAAAAGTTGACGGCCGACAGACGAATGACAGACACGACGGATGCCGCGCCATGCCATAAGCTCACCGGTCCTTTGAACCAGGTGAGTTAATAATGATTTTGACCTTTCCGAGATGGTCTGACGACAGTAAAGACATTCTCTATTGAGGGTAAATGCATGTTTGGCTATAGGCTCATCTTCCTCATGGTCCTTAATATGGTTCATTGTGCTAGATTTTAGAGTTGATTCTAAAAGTGTTTCTAGCGTCAGATCTGTAGTAGTGTATTTCAACATTCTATCCAAGGCCTGGAATACTGACCATCATACAGACACTACAAAAAATAAGTCTCCTGTTTGATTTGGGTGAGTTTTGAAAATGGAAAAATGCCTTCCAAAATGATATCGAATATCTTCCATGTCTGTTAATCTATTTAGAACAAGAGGCCCAATTGGCCTGAATCACTCACCTGGTATTAATCTCACACTTGTAATCTTAAAAGTGGACTACAGCTACAGGCAAAATATCAGCGTTTGATTCATAAGAACCTATTAAAAGATTTAAACATATAACGCCTGTAACCTTGAATGTCGAACAAGGACTTTAGGTTGAACAGAATTTATAGTCTTCCAACCCTTATCACACTTCTGGCAAAATATCATTGCCCTGGACCTTTTGGTTATAAAGAACAAGTCATTTAAAGATTTAAACATATTGAACCCTGTGACCTTGAATATGGGTGAAGGTCATTCACTTGAACAAACTTGGTAGTCCTTCATCCCAGCATATTAATGGCCAAATATCATTACCCTTGGCCTTTTGCTTATTGAGAAGTCGTTCAAAGGTTTTAAACATATTTGCCCCTGTGACATTGAATACATGTCAAGGTCATTCATTTAAACAAAATTGGTAGTACTTCATCCCAGTATGTTACTTGCCAAAAGTCATTATGCTAGGCCTCTTGGTTATTCAGAAGAAGTTGTTTAAAAGTTTTAATCATATTTGACCCCTGTGACCTTGAACATAGATATAGGTCATTCATTTTTACAAACTTGGTAGCCCTTCATCCCAGCATGCTACTGGCAAATATCACCCTGGGCATTTTGGTTATTCAGAAGATGTTGTTTAAAGGTTTTAAACATGTTTGACCCCTGTGACCTTGAATATTTGTCAAGGTCATTCATTTGAACAAACTTTGTAGCCCTTCATCACAGCAAATTACTGACAAAATATCATTATCCTAGGCTTCTTGGTTATTCAGCAGAAGTTGTGTAAAGGTTTTAAACATGTTTGACCCCTGTGACCTTGAATATTTGTCAAGGTCATTCATTTGAATAAACTTGGTAGCCCTTCATCCCAGCATGGTACTGGCCAAACATCATTATCCTAGGCTTCTTGGTTATTCAGCAGAAGTTGTGTAAAGGTTTTAAACATATTTGAGCCCAGTTACCTTGAATATTTGTCATGGTCATTCATTTTCACAAACTTGGTAGCCCTTTACCCCAGTGTGCTACTGGCCAAATATCGTTATCCTAGGCCTCTTGGTTATTCAGGAGAAGTTGTTTAAATGTTTTAAACATATTTGACCCCTGTGACCTTAAAAATGGATGAAGGTCATTCATTTGAACAAAGTTGGTAGCCCTTCATCACAGCATTCTATTGACCAAAAAGCACCATCCTATGCCTTTTGTTTATACAGTTTTTTTTAACATATTTGACCCCTGTGACCTTGAATTTAAGTAAAGGTCATTCATTTGAACAAAGTTTTAGCCCTTCATCTCAGCATGTAACTGGCCAAATATCATTATCCTAGGCTTCTTGGTTATTCAGAAGAAGTTGTTTAAGTTTTTAACATATTTGACCCCTGTGACCTTGAAAATGGGTGAAGGTCATTTATTTGAACAAACTTGGCAGCCCTTCATCCAAGCATGCTACTGGCCAATTATCATCACCCTAGGCCTCTTGGTTATTAAGAAGAAGTTGTTTAAAGTAAAATATTAAAGCCGGACATACGCTGCACCATGGCATAAGCTCACTTGGCCCTTTGGGCCAGGTGAGCTGACAAAAATCACTGACCTCAAGGCTCAAGTTTATAGTTTCTAACATAATACTAGACAGAACTTCTATTTAGTAAAGCAGCAGGCTTGGAAGCTGGGGTCGCTGATTTGATCTCCACTGCAAGTTAAAACTGGTTAGGGACAAACATATTTACAAGGAGAGTAGTGTGGAAAGTTTTAAATGTAAATAGGATTACAGTCGTCTTCTAGCTGCACACAAGATGGAACATCTTGCCTTGGAGTGTGTGACCAGAGAGCTAAAGGTCGCTGGATTTATCCCTGGTGGAAGCACACCACTCTCTTACAGTTACAGTATATTTTATTTTATTTAAAATCAGAACTGTTAAGGTAAATCGTGGACTGAACTAACAAACATTTGAACTGCTTCAAGATGAATCACTTTAAAGAACAAACTTGTGCACTATATTATGGGGGCAACATTTTGGAATAGACTTCAGTTTTAGAAAATGCTCTATTAACCAAACAGAAGCTCCCTGTTCATTTATTAACTGTTGGTGATCTCCCCATCACAAGCACAGGAGGAAACCAGGGCTCACATTTTAAACAGCAAATATGCTTACCTTTGATGAAAATGCTCACAACAATTAAGTTGTATAATAACTATCTGTAACCTCCTGGCTCCATCAATGCCCTCGACACGTAATTAACAAATAAAAACAGCTTAGGTTATAAAATAATTTATTGAAGATATTTTTGTTCTTTACAGTTTCTACAAAAATAACTCATAATTTAATAAATAGTACTAAACAAATACATAAAAATATTAAAACAGATAAAAAACAAAACATCTAGACATTCTACCATCAGTATAAACTCGATGCCTGAAGCTATAGACTAAGATTCTGATAACTTTCTTTACTGATACTTACTTATGCTATGGTGTTCTTACTGGCTTAAACCCTTTCGAAGGGCGAGACATCAGAGTAGATAATTACTTTTATCTATAGTAGAGGGAACTATAACTGTAAAACAAAAGCCTACATAAATACCCCCACTCATCCGTGTTAGTGTGTCCTTAACTGAAAACAATCAATCCAAGTATTTCTGATAGATCTGACTGAAAACAACACGGGAATATTAGTCCAAACAAATACTCTAAAACTGAAATGCAGCTACCAGTTTACAACAACCTTGTCTATAGACAAAGTGAAATCGATGCAGTATTTCAGGAGAAGTAGTTTTGAATTTATTTTGGCAAAAGGAGTGTTACTCTGCACAACTAATTCATATACTGATGAAGTGTTAACATTAAAATCTGAACATTATTTAAGAAGTTTTGTTTTTAATTTGAGAGACAAAATCCTTTTTTTTTTTTTAAAGAGAAATGACTAATTTAGGGAGCGGGGGGTGTAACTTTGTGTACTACATTTACTACTAATTAAATTAATTGATTTCCTTTAAAAAATACCATATAATAATCATCTTAGAAATTCATAAATAAATAAGTTTGATTTGAATCATTTGAACGAACATTAGTACAGTATGATAATTGCTGTACATGTATTTTAAATAATGTCCCAGTACATCACTGCCATGAATCTGAGTAGAAATAAATTTACTAGTTTTCTATGGCGTTAACCAACCTGTCATAGACTCGATTCCTTCACGGTCTTCTATTGAATTACGATACAGTTGTATTCCTGTCAAATCATGTGAGAAACATCACTCAACAAAGACGTAATGTGAATCGTCTCCATTGATGCTAGGTTAGACCTAATGCTACTTATGTCTTGTTTATATGGGTTGCAAGATACTTATACAAAATACAGCAATATAATTTACTAGACTAGCTGCTACCTACCCTAAATGCATACATATTAATTGACTGAGCTCAAATTACAAATTGACCAATTATTGATGTTTGCAACGAAAATCTGAGTGCCCGAGATGTTACAGGTAACGGTTGTGTAAATGAAGGATGGAACCAACGATTATTGATGGAATGAATTAAACATCTTCATTTCACACTTCACTTCAAACTGATGACCACACGTTAAATACACAGCAAGTCCTCTAGTCCCGATATACCCTGCACTTCACACATACTGGTAAACAGACTAATCACCCCGGGCAAGAATGCATTACTAACAGGATGGTACATACAATTCCATTACTTTTGTTTAACAAATTTTTGAATTAATCGGTTAACTTGCCATTTAACTTCAACAACAAAAAATGTTGATAAATTTGAATGCAAAATCTTGATAAATAAGAAAATCTTTACCAAATTATAATGATGCAATAATGAACTAAAACATCTTGATTACACAATGTGTCAGAGAAATAATCTAATAAGTCTGGTTATACTGTACAGCTCAGATAGGGAGGGAAAAAGACTTTTAAGGGACACCCATGTCTCTTCGGTATATTCGTTAATACCCTTCACTGAATATTTTGATAACCATTTGCCTGATTTAGCCAATACATATGTTATATAAGTTAGTTTTACATTGATCACTATACATGGTTAGAATTAAAATACACCAAGAATGAGGGACGGACAGAGTTGTGAGTATTTTGGAGAAAAACCTTTGAGCAAATTATTTTTTTTGTTTTAATTGTCTGTGAACAAAAAAGTTGTACATATTTCAGGTTACAAGGGTAGAATGCGAGACAAACTGGCACTAGCATGTGGTAACCCTGAGAAGATAACACATTTTACTTAACAGAGTTCAAACACTATCAAATTAAAACAAACTTACAATACACCAATAGCACTATGTGGCATAACAGGTAAAAAAACATCTCGTATTGTGCTTTTAAAAGCTATTTGTATCTTGAAATCGAAAGTTACACAGAGAAAGCTACCTTTGACAGTATAATTTCAGTTTCCATGTAATTGAGTTATCATTATTTCATAGTGATAAAATAAGTTTGACAGTACTTGCTAAAGTACACTAACTGGTACACTTTTCCTTGGTAATGTAATTCAAAGGAACATGATCCTAAATATTGTATGCTTTTAACATGTAAGATTTCTAATTTTCCAAGTCTAATACATTACACACAAGTACATGTACTTGGAAAGGAAAAAGGTAATCAAATCCATTTTTTAGCCTATTGGTCATGGTGATACGTTTTCTCTTTAATGTCCATTTGAAGGAGCAAAGGTAATAGGATTTTGATAAAAGGAATCTACTTGACGGAAGAATTTGGCATTAAGGTAAACTTTTAGCGACAGTATTGAGATTGGACACTTCATGGAAATACTTGTACAGAAAATCATATAAATCATAAAAATATCATATTCATAAGTATGGGCAGAAATAAATTGTATTTAGTTTTTTGTAATACCTATGTAGTTATGTTTTTGTTTTAAAGACAGCCATAATCTTACTTAAAATTATGTTTCAACAAAAGAGTGCAACTAGCTACCAGTCATCACTTTAACTACCATCTCATAAAACTTGTCTCATTTCCATAATAATTGAATGCCCAGATAAAATGGTAAATGTTCATGCTTTTTAAGCTATATTTCAGAAATTGAATTTATGGTTTTTATTTAAAGCAAAACCTGATCTTATATTGTCAACAAGACTGTTGACAGCAATAACGTGAGAAAACTGGGAGGAATGGTAGAGACTCGTACAAAAAGTACAATAAACAATCTCAGAAACACAAAATATCACAGACTGAAAACAGATCCATTTTACACACAGGGATCGCCAATAAACAGTGCTATCATTGTACACAACAAGTGCTGTTCAAACATCTATACACAAGCCCCTTCCCTCGTCACAGTTCTCGTAGTCATTCAAACACTATCAATGTGATAGTTATACTTTCATACATGTACCGTGAAAGGGAAAAGGTGAGATACATAATTTACTATTCAGGTTCATTTGGCACTCGCAGACGAGCTTTCCTCTCATTCACAGACGTGCTTTCCCCTCATTCACAGACGAGCTATACTTTCATTCATTATTATAAGCCATTTCATTCACAGAGATTACATAATCATAATTGGCCTTTTAGGCTTATGTATCAACTTCTTACTTATATACAGACATCAGGAAACTTAATGACGTTGCCATGGATACCATATTTACAAAACAACGTATACAGGGTATCACAGTAGCAAATTTGTGTTGTAGTTGTGTGCATACACATGTACAAATACATAGAATTATTTATCTAGAGAATATATACTTCTAAACTTTCAGAACAAACATTTAACATCACGACGATCCACAGAGCTTACAATTATTATTGAATATCACTCATTACTGTTGTATCATCAACGTTTTATCTACAAACAATTTATACATGACCTAATTTTATTAATGCCTATCTAAAAACTGCTACAAAATATCTGTCATAATTTGCTTTAAATAAAAAAATCACTTTGGCTAATATCAGCACCACCATTACTTGCTACCCGCCTATCTTTGGTAGTTAAAATGACTTTGATCCAACTATACACAACCAACATTAAAGTAGCTTAGGAAGTGTCTTAAGACGAGTAATATCTAGTATGTTGTCATCGTCCTCCTTGGAATGGCGAGTTGGAGGAGGGGATGGTTCCCTGGCTATTGGACTCAGCACCCTGTCCCCAGACACGACCCGCCGGTTGTCCCCTGCAGGACTGCTGTAGTCATGGTAACCCTGTGGGCGTGTACTTGAAGCAGGATGTTGTTGGGTCGGCGTGGCATTGTTGCTTGCCCGACCTTGTGGTGTAAAACATTTATCTTGACCTCCTCCCTGACAGGTCCTGGCAGGGGTGTGCACCTGCTGAGGGGAGGAGAACTGCTGTACACCACGGGTAGGAGTACTTTTAGGTGTCACATGGGAAAAGTTAGAATATGGGGTTCCTATTTTCGGTGTCTTCTCTACATAAGGGCTCCCGTAATCTTTATTACTATGGCCATTAATTTGGGGACTTCTTATTTTATCTGTTAACAGCTGTTTGTGCACTAAAGGACTGCCAGAGACATTGTGACTATTGGGTGTCCTACTCTGGGGGGTGATTCCCCCCTTCACAGGTCTGTGTCGATGCACCTCTGGGGTGACATAGGCAGGCGTGTCAGAGCCCGAAGTAGCCATACTGTAGTCCAGTTTTAACTGATAAGTATTGTCTATCATAGTGTTGCCACTATTGGTACTGTCACCGTTAGTCTCGCTCAGGAGGCCATGTTTCTCCATGTAGTTTCTTGTGGCAAAGGTCATGTCGTTAGGAGACATGCCCATCGTAGTCACATTAGGGGTAGAATCCTTGTCATTCTGTAGTACATGTTTAAGCATTGCTAGTCGTTGATTTTCTTTCGCGCCTTTTGTCAAGCCCTTTGAGCGAGCAGCTTGTGAATGAGCTTTACTCATCTGTGTGAGCTGCTCATCATTGAGGTATTTCATTGCCATGGCGTTGATTTCCATGGAGCTGTCCGAGTCCGAGTCAAATAACATGGACATGTAGTTAATCTTGGGAATGTATGTTGTGTCAGCAGGGTTACTTGAAACGTCATACCTGTAACACAAAATCGGTAACAGTTAATCATTTTAAGTTGTGTTGGAGATAATACATGTACTGGAAACAACATACATACAACACATTTTTTGATTTTGTAAAATGATGTACAACTTATGAAACTCTGCTGAGTATTTAATAGGTTACTGTCAAAATTATAACCTCATATCATAATTGTTAGTTCATGTCAAATTGTAAGTTCATGTTAAAAGTGTAGGCTTTCGTCAAATATAGTTTCAGAAGTTTGGCCATGATAATATTGTCTGGCTGCAATAGTTGTTTTAAGTTTAGGGTGCATAGCGTGAGTGACTCAGTAGGCAGGACTTGGTGGTCAGTATAGAGGACTATTGTTCTACAGTGTCTTAATGTAACCTAAACAGTAGCTGACCTATTTCATTATAACCAGATTGGTGAACTGAAGGTTTCCGACCCGACTGGTCACCCTCTGGCTAGAGAACGTGCTTTACCTCTGTATGTTACTGAGGTGCTGTCCTAACATGATGCTCTGCTGTAGTGTGTCCCTGGTCATCTCCACATGACCACTGTCCATTCCGTCCATGTCCTCCACACTCTGTTGGTTCAACATCTTATGAATGTTGTCCTAAAATAAAGAGAAACACTCTGATTAAATTACATTAATCAATAAAACATGCTCTGTCATAAGCTTTATGTAAAATGCACCCTTCATCTTAACAAATATTTAAAACATTACGCCTAAAAACCATTATTAGTTGTCATATCAGAACTACATGTACTTATTTCTTCTGAAGAGTAAACAAACAATTTTTAACAGGGTGAATATAACCAGTCTCACTCTTCTTATATCAAGAATGTTTAGTTTCAACCACTGTTAAGTCAAAAGTTTATGTTGCAGCTATAAGTTCTAAGATTACAGCATACTGGTACTCCAAGGATGTTCTAGACAGTGTGTGCCAATATTTCAGCTGTAAGTTCTAATGTGCTGATATTTTAGCTGTAAGTTCTAATGTGCTGATATTCCAGCTGTAAGTTCTAGTGTGCTGATATTCATTTCAGCGGTAAGTTCTAGTGTGCTGATATTCCAGCTGTAAGTTCTAGTGTGCTCATATTTCAGCTGTAAGTTCTAGTGTGCTGATATTCCAGCTGTAAGTTCTGGTGTGCTGATATTCCAGCTGTAAGTTCTAGTGTGCTCATATTTCAGCTGTAAGTTCTAGTGTGCTGATATTCCAGCTGTAAGTTCTGGTGTGCTGATATTCCAGCTGTAAGTTCTAGTGTGCTCATATTTCAGCTGTAAGTTCTAGTGTGCTGATATTCCAGCTGTAAGTTCTAGTGTGCTGATATTCCAGCTGTAAGTTCTAGTGTGCTCATATTTCAGCTGTAAGTTCTAGTGTGCTGATATTCCAGCTGTAAGTTCTGGTGTGCTGATATTCCAGCTGTAAGTTCTAGTGTGCTCATATTTCAGCTGTAAGTTCTAGTGTGCTGATATTCCAGCTGTAAGTTCTAGTGTGCTGATATTCCAGCTGTAAGTTCTAGTGTGCTGATATTCCAGCTGTAAGTTCTAGTGTGCTGATATTCCAGCTGTAAGTTCTAGTGTGCTGATATTCCAGCTGTAAGTTCTAGTGTGCTGATATTCCAGCTGTAAGTTCTAGTGTGCTGATATTCCAGCTGTAAGTTCTAGTGTGCTCATATTCCAGCTGTAAGTTCTAGTGTGCTGATATTCCAGTTGTAAGTTCTAGTGTGCTTATATTCCAGCTGTTAATTCTAGTGTGCTGATATTTCAGCTGTAAGTTCTAGTGTGCTCATATTCCAGCTGTAAGTTTTAGTGTGCTGATATTTCAGCTGTAAATTCTAGTGTGCTGATATTTCAGCTGTAAGTTCTAGTGTGCTGATATTCCAGCTGTAAGTTCTAGTGTGCTGATATTCCAGCTGTAAGTTCTAGTGTGCTGATATTCCAGCTGTAAGTTCTAGTTTGCTGATATTTTTCAATAATGATATAACCAGTTCAGTGCACCCACCATTAATTTGTCGTAGTACTGCCTTGTGTTTTTATCATTGACCACGTCTTCATCCTCCGAGTCCCCCTCCTCCATGTGACCACCACACATGCTAGCTGACAGCGGACTCTTACTGAACTCATTTGACTCTGTCTCTCTGGATGTGATGGATCTACATAAAAGAATAAAATTGTTAAAACAACATATCTCAAAAGCTTGAAAAGAAGAATTTTGATCCTCTTTTTACTGTTAGTAAGATTTTGAAATATTTCCTTTTGTCATAGATATAATCAATTAACTGCCTCACAGATATAATCAATTAACTGCCTCATAGATATAATCAATTAACTGCCTCATAGATATAATCAATCTACTCCCTCATAGATATAATCAATCAACTGCCTCATAGATACAATCAATTAACTGCCTCACAGATATAATCAATCAACTGCCTCACAGATATAATCAATCAACTGCCTCGTAGATATCTTTATTGGTAGAATGACATGTTACACCCCTGTCCCACTGCACTATATTTTTGTATACAGTAACCTCCCTTCGACTTCTGTTAAGATATAACTGTAGCACAGTTGGGCCAGGACACTTCTGTTTGGATATAACTGTAGCACAGTTGGGCCAGGACACTTCTGTTTAGATATAACTGTAGCACAGTTGGGCCAGGACACTTCTGTTTAGATATAACTGTAGCACAGTTGGGCCAGGACACTTCTGTTTAGATATAACTGTAGCACAGTTGGGCCAGGACACTTCTGTTTAGATATAACTGTAGCACAGTTGGGCCAGGACACTTCTGTTTAGATATAACTGTAGCACAGTTGGGCCAGGACACTTCTGTTTAGATATAACTGTAGCACAGTTGGGCCAGGACACTTCTGTTTAGATATAACTGTAGCACAGTTGGGCCAGGACACTTCTGTTTAGATATAACTGTAGCACAGTTGGGCCAGGACACTTCTGTTTAGATATAACTGTAGCACAGTTGGGCCAGGACACTTCTGTTTAGATATAACTGTAGCACAGTTGGGCCAGGACACTTCTGTTTAGATATAACTGTAGCACAGTTGGGCCAGGACACTTCTGTTTAGATATAACTGTAGCACAGTTGGGCCAGGACACTTCTGTTTAGATATAACTGTAGCACAGTTGGGCCAGGACACTTCTGTTTAGATATAACTGTAGCACAGTTGGGCCAGGACACTTCTGTTTAGATATAACTGTAGCACAGTTGGGCCAGGACACTTCTGTTTAGATATAACTGTAGCACAGTTGGGCCAGGACACTTCTGTTTAGATATAACTGTAGCACAGTTGGGCCAGGACACTTCTGTTTAGATATAACTGTAGCACAGTTGGGCCAGGACACTTCTGTCAATTGGTTAGAGCAATAGCATCACAATCTCAAGTCCAATGTTCAAACCCTAGTCCAGCCCCTCTGAATTTTTCCACTCAGAACATTGTTGCAGATCATATTTTATGTATTTCATCTTCATTATATCTCGTACAAGTCCTGCATTGCAGCAAGATATGGTTTTCTTCTCAGAAATGATTTATCAAAGCTTTAGTCATAGAGGAAAATAGCAGTTTCCACCATTTACTAACAGGTTTTGGCAGTGGTACAGGGATCCTTAAATTAAGAACCTGGACTTACCTGGAGGGAGAAGATTGGTAGCTTGGGAGGTCAACAATAATCTCCGACTGGACACTATCCACTGTCTGATTGTGGACAGTCATGTTGTCCATCACATGGGAAAGGTCACTTTGGGAAACGTCAACTTCCTCTTCCCGCTCTGTGCTATTGAGAGGCAGCACCCCTCTATGTCGGATTTCTGCTGGTGTCCGAGGATCATTGCTACACCTGGAAGCCTCACTTTGGGCCGAGCTACTCCCTGATGATCTCAGTCTGGGGTCGCCCATGCTGCACTGTGACTCCTCACTTGAGTGGTGGCTTGTGTGCTGGCTGTATGGCTGGGACCCATCACTTGAGGAATGACTGTGGGGTAAGGACACCGGATGCTGTAGTTGTGGTCGACCCTTTTGAGGGCTGGTCTGGAGTGATACAGGTTGTTTACTCTGCTGATACAGCACAGTGGTGTTGACCCCCACTGAACACATATTGTTACGTTTATTCTCCTCTGTCGTCGGGCCAGCTGAGCTGTCCTGTGCCCTAGAGTCAGTTGAGTTGATGGAGGGTGGCAAGTCTGTCATGGTTGTACACTGTGTGGAGGCACTCTGACTATGCATGAGCATCTGTATCTGGGACTGCAACTGTTTGAGCTGGGTGTCCTGCTGCAGAAGGAGCTGATACACCTCTTTTGGAACTTGGTTCCAGTTGATATTTGATCCCCCTAAAGCCTGCGGCACACTAGATTGCTTTGATCCTTCCGAGGGAGATGCACTACTTTTAGCATTGTTTCCTTTCTCTGGAGTGAAGCTAAGACCGCTGTCATCACTGGACTTGCTGCTGTCGCCCTCTGTTGTAGATCTCCTCTGGTCCTGACTGGAGGCTATCTGTCCACCAGACACTGGTGTAAACTGAGGGGGCTTTTCCTGCATTGGCTGCATCATCTTACCATTGGTTACTTGTGGGGTGGCAAACATCTGTCCATTGGAATGGAGAGCTGGTGTCTGCTCATTTGAGACCAAACCTACATTGGGGGCAGTGGAATACACATAGCTGTTGGAGGAGGGAGTTGAATACACTTGACCACTGGAAGCCAACATTGGATTTAGCTGACAATTGGAGACTGACGTTGGATAAACCTGCCCATGAGAGGCAGGAGTATGCTGGTGGTGAATGAATGCCGACTGTGGCTGACTGGATCTCGTTTGTTGGCTGTAGGTTTGTTGCTGGTACATCCTGTTTGGTCCTGTGGGAGCTGTGAAGGGACCACTCTGTCCCATCCTGGGGTCTGGATGTGACATTCGGGGTTGTGGCTGGACAGGAACTGGTAACTGAACAGACCTGGAGGGTACTTGCCCTTGCATACTTGGCATATGTGGATGCGACATGGGATCTGGCATTCTTGTCAACTCAGCACCTTGCTGCTGCTGCTGCTGCTGCTGCTGCTGCTGACTGCTGTAGTCACCATACTGCACCTGCTTAGGATGAGGCATGTTACAGTTCGTGTTCACTTGGTGTTGGCTGTGCTGTTGGTATTGACCTGATGATGCTTGAGAGACTGGAAAAGGATGGCCAGTGTATGCATCATAGCCATTAGTCATCCTCTGTCCTTGTGGTCCATTCACCCGTGCCATACCCTGGTGTGCTTCAGCTTGTCCACTGTTCTGGTATACAGGGCCAGGCATGCCCCGCCTGTCAGTCACCACAGAGTTCTGGGGATACATTTGCTTACCAACTGACATCTGATCATCCTCTTCAGACAACGCCATGTTGCCCATGTAGTTTCGAATACCCACTCTGCTGACTGCTGGGCCCTGGGTGCCAGTGGTGGAGTGGGGACGAGGCTGACGACAGCCATTTTGTTGATGGTAGAGCTGGTTGAGTTCTGGGGCACTTTGACTGTGCAGTGGCATTCTCCTCGGTGGCTGCTGACTGCTGTGCCCAGAGTAGTGTGGGGGCTGTTGTGAGTAGGCCGGCATAACAGACTGACTAGAAAGGTTGGTCATTGGGCGCTGGGGAGTGAAGTCCTTGAGGTTATTAACGCTCTGAGGTCGCCCCTGGTTGATGGCCAATCTCTTTGGTCCCGCATCAGAGAGGATCCCTGACTGTCCATCCTCACCAAATAACAGTGACACTTCTGGCACCATTGACATCATTGCAGGCAACTGTATCATTGAAAAGTAAAGTCATCAGTATCATTGAATCGGTCGATATCATGTGTTATACTGGATTACAATAGAGATAAAGGAAACTTTAACAAATACTTAAAATAAAGGACATATGTCAAAAAAGCTCTATTTTTGTGGTCAGAGTAAGTTTTTACTTGGGCAACAGCGTGCAAAACATTATATCCTGCTGATAAGGATCAAGAAAGAGATGGGATTGTGTGTGAGTTCAGCTGTTTAAAGGTTCAGGTAACTGTTGCTGGGCTTTGTCAGATGTAACAAGAGGTCCAATGGGTCTGAATCGCTCACGTGGTATTAATCTCACAATTGTAATCTTAATAGTGGACTAAAATACAGCTACAGGCAGAATATCAGTGTTTGATTCATAAGAACCTATTAAAAGATTTAAACATATGATGCCTGTGACCTTGAATGTCGAACAAGGACATTAGGTTGAACAGAGTTTATAGTCTTCCAACCTAGCATGCTTCTGGCAAAATATCATTACACTGGACCTTTTGGTTATACAGAACAATCATTTAAAGATTTAAACATATATTGACCACTGTGACCTTGAATATAGGCGAAGGTCATTCATTTGATCAAACTTGGTAGTCCTTCATCCCAGAATGTTAATGGCCAAATATCATCACCCTTGGCCTTCGGGCAGGTGAGCTAAAAACTGTACAAGGGCAGGCTGGCAATTTTTGTGATTCCCATCATCATATTAAACTCATTCACCCCTGAAATATCATAATGAACTATTCCAACCTTTGAATTAAACGAGGGTGAATAAGTAAAAAAGTGCCCATCTGCCCCTCATCCAACCTGTTTCAATTTATATCTTCTGTAGCTCTAATCATCACCCGAAATGTAACTGATCACATCAAATTTGAACAGTGTGAAATGGGAGTAAGATTGCTTTTAAATTATTAATTGTCTATCCTCTTAGCATGACGAGACAGCTCACACTTCAATGCACCGATATGTTCTGTTCCATAATAGCAGGCAATGCTCGAGGAGAAAACTGAGAAGAGGGGACATTTTATTTAGCTTGTTAGAAAGTAATTGTGAAGAAAAGATGGTACCGGGAGAACCTCAAAATAACATCCCTTTTTGTGATAAATATTCCAGACAACAAATTTACCTTAGATCTGTGAGGAGCAGGTATATTCCTTGGTGTTATTTCATCACTGACGGGAGCTGACGTAGAGGCAGGTTTGTCAGAAGAAGAACTGTGAAATAAAACAAAATTCAGGTGATATTTTCAAGGTTACACTAAATCAAGTTGCATATACAAAATTATGTATTTATTAGAGAATACAGTGATGAAAAACACACATTTTTGCTATTTTAAGTTAAATGTAAAATTCTGTTAATGGTCAGTCTATGGTATCTTTAACACTTTTTTTACCAATGCTCCTGACTTCGTCCTTTAATTTAGTTGTTCTTACCTTTCACTGAACCTATGAAGAGCTCCATCAAACAATTCTCTCTTATGTCCAGTTTTGACACTATTTAAGTCGACATCAAATGTAGCATTAGGATTATTGGACTGAAAGTAGAAATATTTGTATTCATTCTTATAATATAAAAAATATTTCAATGTTTTATTATTTTTTTCTCAGAATAACAGGCTGTTAACATAGCATACCATGATATAAAACTAATTGCAAACCAACATATTGTTCTTAATTTGAATTGTAAATTATTTCAGATGTAAATTCCAATTCCACACAAGAGTAGATTTTCTGGAAAGTTTACTTTTTGACGGTAGTGTGTTTCAGGTACAAAACTAAGAGTTCATTTAATTAACATACAGTGTACCATTTACTTACTTTAGATATACTGATAACTTCGTATCCCGTGAGGAGGTCAAAGTCCATCTTGGATGTACCGGACGCTGTACTGATTTCATAGAACTCTGGCTTAGAGTGGACAGGGCTGTATAGGACCAGGAGAAAGGGTTCTGGTGGGGAACATATCCTGAAACAGATTTTTTGGTATATCATATCAGACAATGAAATGTCATTCAGACTCAAAAAAGATTGACAGCAGCAAGGTTACACACCCAGGGAAGGTCAAGGACAGTAGCAAGGTCATTATACATAGGGAAGATCAAGGACAGCAGCAAGGTCATAAACACAGGGAAGGTCAAGGACAGCAGCAAAGTCATTATACATAGGGAAGATCAAGGACAGTAGCAAGGTCATAAACACGGAAGATCAAGGACAGCAGCAAGGTCATTATACATAGGGAAGGTCAAGGACAGTAGCAAGGTCATAAACACAGGGAAGATCAAGGACAGCAGCAAGGTCATTATACATAGGGAAGGTCAAGGACAGCAGCAAGGTCATTATACATAGGGAAGGTCAAGGACAGCAGCAAGGTCATTATAAATAGGGAAGATCAAGGACAGCAGCAAGGCCATACACACAGGGAAGGTCAAGGACAGCAGCAAGGTCATTATACAAAGGGAAGATCAAGGACAGCAGCAAGGTCATACACACAGGGAAGGTCAAGGACAGCAGCAAGGTCATACACACAGGGAAGGTCAAGGACAGATGCAAGATCATACACACAGGGAAGGTCAAATACCTCAGCAAGGTCATACACATATTAGAAGGTCACACAGATACTGGAAAGGTCAGGCAGCAGTGAAGTCACACTGACACTTAATATGTTAAACAAGGACAAATTGACACTGAAAGGGTCACTATGAGAAAAACCTATATTCAAACTTGTCATTTTAATTTGTAAACAAATCATTTAAGGAAGGGTCAAATGGCTTATACACAACGAAGCTTGAAACAGAATACATAAAGAAGTCAATATGGAACATAAACCATGTTCTTAACAATAGAATTTTAATATCAAAATCTTTGTTACCATATCTCCAGAAATGGTGTGAAAGGCGATGACTTAATGATCTGTACTGATTCTACATGAGGATGTGTATTACCTGTCGGTGATACTGGTTTAATGATCTGTACCGATTCTACATGGGGATGTGTATTACCTGTCGGTGATACTGGAGTTGTGGAGGTAACGTAGACAGGCGGCCCACACAAAGGGACTGTACACAAACGACACACCGCTCACCCATCTGGAAACAACAAAGTAGATGTATAGTGCCAAGTTTTGACAGCTACTGGCAGTGTGCCAGGATATCAATCTATGTATGGATATACATGTATAATATATCACTCACAAGAAGACAGAGCATGATTATATATTTTATCATTCAGAAATATCACCACACAAATTTTGATCTAAACAAACCATGTCAAGGAGTATTAAAGGTCAAGATATGTTTGTGAATTTAACAAAAAAAAAGGTCAACTATCAGTTTTTTGGTGTGTTTTTTTAAGTTAGATGCTTCTATACTGACAAAAGCATACATCAAATGATGCTGGTGAATGACTTGTTAACTGTATCTAGTTGTTTTTTCATTAGTTGACTGAAGTTATAGTATGCTTTCACCCAGATGTTGCCAGTAACAACACACATGTAGTTTTCTGTATATGTGTGGTTTCAAAGACGAAAATGTTCGTATAAATGTAACAAAATCATGTAGTGGGACTTACATTCCAACAAGAGGTAGATTGAAGACTTTGGGATCAGACTCCAACACTAACAGCACTTTCCTTGTATGGTCCATTGTCAGGTAGCTACAAATCAGAAATGAGGCTCTGAAGTCATACAACATCGTTTTTCACCAACATAAAACGCAATTGTCAGTAACAATTTGGTAAAGTGTTCTCTAAAATGAAGTAAAATTTCAGCTTCCCTAGAACATGTCATATTCCTTGTTGAATTTCAGACACAGCAGTTTTCATCCAGCTACTACCTGGATAAGGTTTAAAGAAAAAGGTTGAGAAATGACGGATGATTCCATGGCATAAGCTCATCTAGGACCAGGTGAACTAAAATACAAATCCATAGGATAAGAATTTAGAAGATTTATCACCAAATATGAGTAAAAGTATTGTATTTTTTGCATCTGTTTAAATGTCATGATTTTGACGAATAAGGATTTTGAATTTATTATGGCCATAAAATGCTCTGAATAATGAACAATGCCATAATAGAGAATTCAATACAGAGCATAATATAAATAGTAGTTGTCTGGATTGTGACTGGATATCAGAAGTACACACCCTGTTTTTGGTTCCCCCTGTAAGTGACTCAGACTCATTGGCCCGGACAGGTTTTTAGACAAAGCAGTTGGCACAATAGGCACAGGGGTAATGGGAACGGCCTTGAACTCGGTTCCCATAGTGATGATATCAAACTCCAGGTGGTGTACACTCTTGTCCCCGGTGGAGTAGAAGTTACACCAGCCCTTCACCAGCAGCAAACTGCCCACATCCAGTGACTCCTTTGCACAACATCGTTGTTTTAGCACCTGTATCAACAAATAGGTTCATTCCGATTAAACCAAATTAGAATAATATTGCATATTTTATATTTGAATATATCAAAGGGGTAATGAATCCACACGACAGATATGTGGGATTTAACTCATTTACCCCTGAAATTTCATGATGAACTGTTCCAGCATTTGTATTTGAAGAGTTCAAATGTGTCTTCAGGGGTGAATGAGTTAACATGACAAAAGAATAGTGATGTTAGTCTGTCACTCTGGTGATCACAAGTAACCTATTTATTATTACAGCATGAACCATCAACACAGCTTTCCTGAAACCCACTAATTTCCCCACATCAGATATTTGATACTGCTCAGCAGACAGTACAGAACATCTTAACTAAAATATGGTACCCAAATCAAAGTTCAACCCTTGAAAAGACGTTTATAAAAATTGAGAAGCGAAATTGAAATTGATGACATGTGCAGGTCTTGGGGTGACAGTGGGCCCCAGGTTACTAACTAAGCATGCATTCATATTATAGGGAAAGTTATTTCTTTAAAAAAATATGTGACATTGTTTAATCAAAATCTTAAATGGTGGCTTTATAATTCAAAGAAATTGATAAATCTTAAGAAATATATTGATTTGAAACAGAATGAAAATGAGTACATGTGTCTCCAGTTGTTTCACTGATTTGTAAGTCAAGGTAAAATTCATGCAAAGGAAGAACTGGAATGCATTGTTGATAATGTAATATACAATGACATACAGATGGCTGTTAAGCCTTTGTCTCCTGTAACAATGAGATTCTTGGCTAATCCCCTAGAGATTAGCACTGTCTTGCCTACAGTTGGTAGAGACCAGCTTACCTGTAATCCTATGAGATAATCATCTATTGAGCTCTCCCTCTCCTTCTTAGTGTTGCCCATAATCTGTGAACAAAACCACATGCCATATATATAAGTAAGTGCATTAATGAACCAGCTGGTAAGACCACAAACTACTACCTTGTATATATACAGGTAAACGCTATATACTACATACACATAAATAGTACACATACCAGTACATTATACGGGGTTAGACACTACTGTTTTGCATGGTAGTCCACAGGACTAGTTGAATAGACTATTTACTAGTCCTTCGTCAGTGTAACTAGTCCAAGATTTCCTGATAAGGAAACATCGCGATCTACAGCATGAAACATCAAAAGTAATCGACTGTAGGGGACTTCAAATAACAACTGCCATAAAAATGTGCAAAAGTTTTTTGGATTTTTTTTAAAATTATCATGCAATATATGTTACAATAACAGTTTTCTAAATTTAAAAAAAAAAGGAATATTCTTACTTATTTTGTAATCATATTTTTCATAAGTCAAAATTAAAGGACCAGTTAGGTAAGGTGATTCACTAGTCCTTGCTGAAATCCACTAGTCCAGGACTAGTGTTAGTGTCGACCCCTGTAATAGTACAAGACGGACTGCTGTTAGATGTAACACTGTCGGTGACCTTGACTTGTACATGAATTTGTGTAGATCACTGGTTTAGTACTAAACATATAGTTGGTCATTCACCCTGGTCCAATTGTCTGTTATTGTGTTAAGCTCCCTTCAATAGCTCTGTGATTTTACCAAAAAAACAAAAACCTATGCTGCCCCACATAGGTCTCAAACCTGTGACCCAGTGGTGGAGAGCTAGTGGTAGCAGAATGTCAGAGGCCTTAACCACTCGGCCACTGCACCCCTTTGTTTTTAAATATATACAGGTACATAACTGTACAAACTGGTACTTAAATTGTAACTTGGTTCATGATGTCAATACGAGACACTTATATTGACATAAGAAATTGTAACAAAAAATGTGTCATATTTTATGACATCAGCGGGGTACCTCCTTCAAATTTCATTCTGGTTTTAGAAATTAGAATGAATGGGTGATTACACAATATAGGCGAAACATGAATCAGCAAATGAAATATTACATTTTAGACACCTGTACTAGTATCCCGTGTCATTAGACAGATGGGAGAGAAGATACGACCAAATCTGTGTATCGTCAGTACTGACCTGTAATGGTACCGCCATATCCCCAGGGGTCAAGGCGCCCACACTGGATGTTAGCCCGCCACCCGGGTCAAATCGGTCCAGGGTAAATTTGACACCCTCTCCATCTTCAAGAAATCAAATAGAGTTGACAGTGATTGAAAATAAAAAGGTTTGTTATTTAACATTCTAACAATATTGGTAGGCGAAAAAGTGAACCAAGTGATCAAGACTCAAATACAAAACAAATGTAAGTGAGAAAGTCACCATGCATGTAGTCAAATGATCTAACTACATGCACTGTGAATTTAATATGTTACCATTACCATGTTCTATATAGCATCGTAACAACGGGAGGCAGAAGTCACCATGTCAAGTCATTATAACATTAAAACAATTACTAAGAATTTGGATCATACTCTGCTGCCCTTTTAAACAATACACTTAAAATTACAGGATTTATCAAATAATCTATACAGTATAAGATGATGAATTTGTATGCAGCCTACCACAACTCACCTTCATCAATGGAGAGGGATCCCACTAATGAACACAGACATTCCTGCTGTCCTGTGCTCTGTAAATGGCGCTGAGCAAAACGAATCACACGTTCCAGTACACATAACTTAGGTTTTCTGTGGACAAAAAAAAAATCTTCCTTGTTTGATTTTAAATCATTTCACATGTAAATTAAGACCAGTTATTATATTAGAGCAAGCATTGCACACATTAGCCTCAATTTCCATTGTCCCCGACACCAGACTTAGACATTTTGACAGATAGACATATATCTGTCAAACTGTCTGGTGTCAGAGCCAGAGGAAACTCGGGCTGGGTACACATTTGTTACTGTTCACCACAAAAGATATTTCTGATCCATAAACCATCCAGATAATGATCAAGTTAGACTGGAAATTCAGATTTAACCCACTCTCCTGATTGACGCCCAGGGTTCGACAATAACTCTTTTTGCTTGGTAATCCATATAGGACTCATTGAGTAGATTATTTTGCTAGTCCTACATCAAAATAAGTAGTCCAAGATTTCCTCAAGGAAATGTTTTATTCACAAAAGTAAACGACTGAAGGGGACATAAAACCATCACCACCATAAAGATATGGTGAAGGTTTAGGTACATTTTGACAATTATTATGCAATATATGTGTAATTTTAAGCACTTTTTCAAAAGGAATATTCTTATTCATAGTATTCAATCTATCAAAGATGTAATGATGTGACCAGTTAGGTTAGTTGATTCACTAGGCCTTGCTGAAATTTACTTGTTTCAGACGAGAGGACTAGATGATAGTGTCGAACCCTGATGAACTGTCACCTTATAGTACTCTATAAATTCTATTCCTTAAGAGAAAAAAACATCTGAACATTATACAGAGTGAGAAATCATTTATTAAGTACAGTATTCTTCAATTTCCTGTTTTAAGTTGAGATCATACCTTATTTATAAGCAATGCTTTCCCCACACGAAAATTTAAGTAAAGGATAAAAATGTTAGTGAAACCGAAGCATGGTACATGTGCCGTACAGCTTGTATTCATAGACACAATTATCCCTACAATAAGACATCTTCTTAATCATTTGAAGGTGTTTTTTCTGGTATTTTGTGTACATATTTTTTTCACATGTCATAAGTTTATTAAAGTTAAGTTCAGATTATATCTATAAAGATTCTCTTCACCGAACTCAAAATCAACCAATTGAAATACTTATCGTTAAATTAATGTGACGTTACTTGGATCATTATAACGTATCTCAGATCTATAATTATACAGGCGTTCCTGGCTCTCCCAATGCTTATCCAGTCTACTATCAATAGTGGTAACAGTCGGTACTAATACCACATATAATGAACACTGTGTACTATATAGACTTTTAGTTCAACTGATTTACTTACCTGTAGTAGGATATGTGTAATTGGACCGGAGTGTCTATACATTTGTGATCCCAAAGAACTGCCCGAGTGTTTGGAAACTTTAACATTTGATTTTCATCTGAAGAACTGAAAATAAAGCAAGTATGTGTTATAGGACATATGATTTGATTTTTCTAAAATATCAATGAAACTGAAAGTTTATACGTTATCAAGCAATAATGTTGGAGACTGAATTTACTAGATAGATGTTGATCTTTTAAGAGTATTATTTTATAAATGCCACAGAATTCTACAGAACAGAATTACAAACTTCTCTTACTAGAGTTTATATTACTTTCAATTTCAAAATCTCTGCATACAGGTATTATTATGTACTTAAACTTTTACTCAAAATTATTTCTGATACTTGGAACTCCAACAAAATTGATGTTATAGCTCTACAATGCCCAATATATAGCTGTCTGGGGGTTATCAATATCAGGGCACTTTAAATACATTTAGAAGGACTCAAAACCTCATTCACCCCTGAAATTTCATAATGAAGCATTCCAACCGTTGAATTGGAAGAGTGTAAATGTGTTCAGAGGGGTGAATGAGTTAAAAACTGAAAACATGTGTATTTTTCCCAATCTGCCATTTAAAATTCATAAGTGAGATATCTTTAATAAAGATTTATCCATCTGAATGAATTATGTTTTCAATATTTGCTTCATTGTTTGTATCAACAACAGACAGCCAAAGCCAAATGCATTCTGTTTCTGTATTTCTGTTTTAGTTCAGATTGACATTACCTTTTCTTCTGTCTTTGTATTTCACCATTTTGATTAGATTCTATTGAGGTTACAGGTAATGATTCAAGGTGCACATGTGGATGCATCTGAAAGTTGCTGGGTAGGCCTTTCACCTTCCCTGGCATTGCCATTGGAAATTAGATCTGAAAGAAAAAGAAATTACATGTACAATATATTCAAGAAGTTTTGATATCACTGACTGCAAACATATTTGTAACAAATAATAAATACTCAGTATTAAAGATTTTAACTCTGAAAATGGCTTTCACTTTTTTTTTTATATTTCATATAAAGTGAAAAAGAAGACTTTCATTATACTCTTGGGATTTTATAGAATATGGAAACTTAAAGTAGTTTAAGGGAAAACAAAAACAAGCTAATTACAAATTTTCCAGTACAGAATCTGACGAAAAATATTTCTTTATGGCTGAAATTTGTTTTTCTCTCTTCCAAATGTTAATTCAGACACAATACATGACTACTGGTGCAGGGATTTCCTTGGTTGTGCAGACTGGGTGGTTTTAAAAGTCAGTTAGGAGTTCCAAGTGTTCGATGATTTAGGTGGTTAAAGGTATGTCTAAATTTCACCAAATTTCACCAAGGATGATTATAATCATTTTGCCACTAGTATTTGAACTCTTCCAATTCAAAGGTTGGAATAGTTCATTATGAAATTTCAGGGGTGAATGAGTTAATAATGATACATAATGTTGTCAGAAATTAAATATTTTGAAGATTGAAAATTCAAGAAAGGTGTTTTTTCTTCATTTTAAGATAAACACAAGATGTGCATAGATTTAAAAAGAGAGAAAAAAGGAGGATGTTTAGGGATAAGACATGTCTTATATATATACCGGAAACATATTTTGTCCACAACATATTGCAAGGTTTTACTACTAGTAGTTCACATGAACATCAAGACAATTTGTTCATGTGGCATACACACTTTCCATTAATAGTTGGATTTGATGAAGGACTCATTACTTCTGGCTACAGGCTAGGACACACTGGCACATATATACAGTCATATATAATATGGATTTGTGACAATATCCTGAAACATCCGGATCCCTTGGCCTTCTATTTAGCTGGCACATCATCATGAATAACAATTTATTTTATCATCCATCCTGCTCAATCAATAGACTGTCTGAGGGTAACATCATTTGTCCTGTATATATGCATGTGTATTGTATAATATGAACTGTATATATAATTATGTATACGTAAATTATATAGTGTCCATAAATCAGCTACAGCCAGGTATTACAAATGGATCACCAAACCATCATTTAAATCAAGCATATTGAAAATTTAGAGGATGAATTATTAGGTTATATTACCTGACCATAGGTCATGGTAACCTATATTGTGATAGCCTTTTGTCTGTCGTCATGCGTTAACTTTTCCTAGTGAACACGATAACTTTAGTAAATGTAAACCGAGTTTGATGAAACTTTGTATGCAGCCATATATCAATAAGATCTCGGAGGAGTTCGCAAATGGGAATTATTTGATGGTAACTTACAGAGTTATTGCCCTTTGTAATAATATTATTATAAGAACCTTGTAAACACGATAACTTGAATAAATGTTGACGTAGTTCAATGAAACTTTGTCCGATAATTATTTGACGGTAACCTGCAGAGTTATTGCCCTTTGTCATTATAGTATTATTTGTCCCTGTGATGTTGATTGACATTACACAAGAATAGATGTAAATTCATGTGGTACGGCTTTTTTTTTTATTCAAGACGCATTTTTGCTACTAACAAGGTGCTATTAAAAATTTGTGCCTTATTTAATAAATCATTGATTTACGCTTTTACTTGTTTCTTTTAACCAAGGACAGAAGACAAACAGTTACCAAGTTTGTTCAAAACAGACCCCTTGGGTCAAAATTGGAGTCACACCCATTTATTTCAGTTATCGTGTTCACAGGGTCCAACAATATTAGAATTACCAAGGGGAATAACTATGTAAGTTATGGTCAAATTGGTCCGGTATTCAAACTCATCCAAGATATCATTGATACAAAGCTGCATACAAAGTTTCATCAAAATCGGTTCATATTTACTGAAGTTATTGTGTTCACAAGGAAAAATTAATGGACATTGCAGCAAGGTCACTCGGACAGACGAAAATATGAACTGGCCCCTGGATGACAGTCCTAATTTGAATTGGATGTCAGGTGACCGTTGAGGCCCATCGGCCTCTTGTATATATTAATCAGAGGCGTGCAATTCCATTAGGCTGACTTCCTGCCAGTAGATTTATTTCAGTCTGTCAATATTAAGTCAGTCACTATAAAAAAACAGTGCATAATTGTAGAATTCTGCAAAATTACCTGCAATCAGAAATTATCTATATAGCACTTGGAATAGAAAACTGTACATTGATTTATTGATGGTTAGATCAAAGCAAAAATATGACTGCTTATTCTAAATAAATAAAAAAGAAACTGTTAATATCACTTGAGGGCTATTAGCCCCGACATCATTAGCAGGTTTTGCATTTTTCAGGGGCACCCTCCTTGATTTTCCCAAGGATCACAGCTTAAATTTTGCAATTACATATCTTTATATGCATCAAACGAACAATTCCTGACCAGCAACTCAACAACATATTTTTAGTAATCGCTGATATGCTTTTTCTGATGTTATTCAAAAATATTGTGAATAAAACAAGTAATTTTGTGAAAACTGATCTATTATTCATACACATCTGATTAGGAACCTTTCTTCTTACTGGTTATTTAATGTACAATGTACATGTGTGTATTAATGGTGGTTTTTCATCAGTAATTATATTTGGGTTTGTGTGGCACTAAAAAGATCCTTCAAAAATATATTCAAGATTCTTTATAAGGAAAACTGATTAGCAACATATATATTAAGAATAATTTTCTACTGCACTTCAAAATGCATTACGTTGAACACAATATTATCATACTGATGTTTTTCATTGAATTCAATCTATAACATGTACTGAGCAAATGAAGGTCAAAATTTAAATCTTATCAACATTACGCATAGCCCCTCAAGACCATAACATCTCACGAACTGATCATGACATGAACTTGCTCATTCATTGCCCTAAGTAATGTTTTCAAAGCTAATAGTGTGAACACATGAGACTTGTTAAAGTAACAACTGGAATATTATAATATGATTTGAGAAACATCAGTGTAATTTAACATTCTTGGAAACCATTTTATGTTGATTAAACAGTCGAATGCAAATTCTTTAGCAATGACATTCCAAAATGAAATATACATACCTCAAAACAGCGCACATATTGTAATCCGCAATGAAATAGTTTTGCATGTTATGAGCTTTTTGTAAGTTGAAACCACAGAAAAAATACTTCACCCTGGCATAGAAATTTGCATTTAGATTGGTAACTGTTTGGTCACACATTTCAATGAATAAACCCTCATCATATTACTTTTCGCTTGCCTTGATTGCCCTATTACTCATGTGAACTGCACTAATACACACTAAATCGAAGCCCGTATCAAACACGCCCCGGCATGTTTACAGTCATCCGCGAACTTCAGATTCTTTCAAAATAAAGTAAAATTAAATTTTCTGTGTGAACAACATGGACAGATATAATCATTATCTCCTAAAAATGTGTTTTAGAAACACAGATATTCCAAATGAAGTGCAATTTTAACAGAAACTGTCAAAAACATGTTTGTTTACAACCGGAAGTCGGCTTATTCTAAAGCCGTTGCAGCAAGAATATTCACGTGTAAGGAATTCTTATGTTTTTATGTTTCCTGGATCATTCTGGTAAACAAATCGAGTAAGACATATATGTATTGTACCTATTAGTATCGTCGATCTTCATTTTCGTTAAAATAATTTTTTAAATGTCATAGTTCACTTACCTTTGGTAGGAAAACATTGGCGCTTCGTACTCAAATTTTTTAATTCATTGCGCATGTTGAATTATCCATTTCCGGTTGGTTAGGTCAGGGCACGTTGATTTACAGTAACACGTCAACAAGTTTTTTAGTGGGTGCTTGGTAAGTTGAAATGTGTAGTTAAATTTCAGTTAGTACGTACACTATTTTGATGTGATACTTATTTAACTGACAGACTGTATAAGACAAATTTACCTGTTGTTTTGATAAATTTTGAATCCGTCAACTCGGTCACGTTTAACCCGGTGCCGAGACATTTCGCCCTCGCTTATACTATAGTAAAAAGTCATTTCGACCAATCGAATGTGATAGAGACAACTCGGCCTCTGATACGAAATTGGCACCTCAATCAGACAAGTCAGCATCTTTAGAAATACCAACGGATTCACATCGTATGTCTTCCTTATATGAAGACTAAATAAAAGTACAGCACCAAATATTTCCAAGGTAGCAATGGTTAAATGAAGGACAATATTTACATTAATTCTCATAGTGATAAGTGACAGTGTGGACCAAATAATTGTTCACTTTTTAGAGATTGTGACCATAAAACACACTGTTTTGTTAAAAAAAACCATTGCAAAACAAATTTGGCTTGATGATTGATTGATTCAATTTGATAGGTTTTACGTCCGCTTCTCTACCGAGTAGTTCGGTTATCCAGCAAACGATAATAGGATAATTTAGCTTTAAAACATGTGTAAACTAATATATATATGTATTCTATAATTATACACTTTCATTGAGATGCTGCAGAGGGTAAATATAAATGCTGGCATATATCTATGACTATATAGGTACTAAACAAAACTTAAGCTAAAAGCAATATGCCAATTCAATTGTCTGCTCGGATATATATTCTTTTTACATAAAAAAATTATGTAGTTTTCCTACTGTTTGACACTAGTTTTTAGTAATCCAAACTCCACTGATGGTCACAAGTGTTATGTTCTCTTTTGTATTACTGAAGCTTTCTGTTCTCAATTTCCAGTGCCTCCAGTTTAAACTAATTGAACAACAAAATAAGTACATTTATATTTATACTATATTTACAACACAAGTTTTTTAATCTGTCAGTATCAACTGACACTGACATCACAGACTTGACTCCCCCCTCCTAGACTACAGATGGTCACACTTTTCTGCAGATCCCAACCTATATCATAACCACAATTATCTATGGCTACTTTAAAAGCCACTATCTTCAAATAAAATGCTGACAATGACCACCAGCCAAGGCGTATAAAATTGAAAACAATTAAACGGCTAATAAATGCATAACAGTGACTGTGAAAAACCATGCAATCAATTGTATTAGGGTCGGCATGACAAAAAAGGGTCGGTCGGGAAACGGGAAACACGGTATATTTTTATTTCGCCTAACGTACATGTGATGGTGAACTATATGCATTTCATTGGTAGTGATATAACCTGTACTGTATGCAATCAAAACCAGTGCAGGTGATGAAGACAAATAAACACAACATCATATTTTGTGATTCATTTTCTGATGAATGATATGAATATTATTAATTTTTATTACATTTCCCCCCAGATAATTCTGAAAGGCCATCCAGCAAAAAAAAAAATCAAAATTCTGTATTCAATCTTCCGCCATTGTGCCCCTAAGTTCCGTCACCAAGTGCTGTTCAGAGCTCTGACAGGAAGCCAACAAACCATGACAGAGGCAGCTAAATACAATGTGATCTTTGTCCTTGGAGGTCCTGGGGCAGGAAAAGGCACACAGTGCGACAAGATCATAAGGGTAAGTATACACAGAAGTGAGGGCAATTTGACAAGATACATGGAATCATAAGGAAGGGTTATTTCCCAGTGGTATTGGCAAGGTTACCGAGAGTGAAAGGTATAGGTTACTCACTGGGGAGGGCTGAGTGACCAAGTGTAAAAGTAAGTCAGGGTAATTAAAACATATGAAGGGCAAGGTCACAAACTGAGAAGGACTAGGTTGTTAGGTGTGAATGTTAGTAAAGATGGTCATAGGGAAGGGAAAGATCACAAATTGTGGTAGGTTAGTCAATCGTAATTATACAAATTGGTAAGTTTACCTATTGAGAAGGACAGGGTAACAAAGTATGAACTTTAGTCAAGGTAACCATAGAAAGGGCAAGGTCGTTTAGTTGGACCAGGATGTGCAGATAAATCAGTGTAACAGGATATACAGTTAACAAGGGAGAACAAACCCACTAATGCTATCCAATATCTGCACTTTCAAAGGAGCCACCCTAAACACCAGAAAACATCCCGTACTCCCAGGCATTACGTATCGGAAAAATATGCAGCGCAGACACAGGATGAACTAAATTAATCAAACAAACACTCTGCGAATATATAACAAAGACACTATATAATATGATGAATGTTTATTGTTTATTGTTTCATAAATATCATACGATCAACTACGGAAATGACAATATACATACAACTACATGTAAACAATTATTTTAAATTCCAGAGAAAGACATTTTAATAATCACAGCACATTTATAAAGTTAGAACATCTAAGAAGGGCTTACCCGCCTTTCACTATTGTGTATTATCTATCTATTGATGACGTCATGTAATAACTAACAATGTAAAACTGCACCCCATTTTTAGTACTTCAGGGGCTGAAATATCTTGAAAAAATGTCCTGATGAAGACTCGCACATAGAGTCGAAACTAGTTGACCGTAATAAACACCCACTCATTGGTAACGCTTGAGCGTGTTGTCATTGAAACCTAACAGGATCTATAGTTAAGGTAATTATAAGGTAGCGTTAGTTCTTGGGTGGGTAAGGTACCCACATGTAAAAATTAGTTAAGGTAATATGTAAGGAAGAGCAAGGCCACCCATTTGGGAGAGCAAGATAACCAAGTGTGAAAGCTAATGAAGGTAATGATAAGGAAGGTCAAGGTCACCAATAGAGAAGGCACCCACTTGGGAAGACAAGGTCACCATGTGTGAATGTTCATTTTTGCTGGACACGACATTATAGGTTAGGTCAAGGTCGCACAGTGGCCTATAAGGAAGGTCAAGGTCGCCATGTGTGACTGATGAACAACTTCATGATAGGTTAGGTCAAGGTCATACAGTGGCCTAGAGGAAGGTCAAGGTCACATAGTGTGACATAATAGTTGAGGTAATAACAAGGTATGGTAAAGGATAATGTCGACCAAATGTGAAAGTCAGTAAGTCATGATAGGTTAGAACATTGCCACAGAATATGATGTAACAATCAAGCTATTTATAGGGATGGGTCAAGGTCACCTAGCTACATGTATTTATAGTAGGACAGGATACTATGGTGTTTGCCTGGGTGTGGGGGAAGGCAAGGTTGCCTAGTATTAACTAGGATAAAGGGAAAAGAATTGGATCGGGGTGAAGTCACTTTAACTCTTTATTTTGTTGATACACACTTTTATGTAATGTTATCTTCCTGTTTACAGAAGTTTGGCTATGTACATCTATCAGCCGGTGACCTTCTACGAGCGGAGAGGAAAGATAAACAATCTGAGCTTGGTGAAGAAATTGCACGTCACATCGAAGTTGGATCCATTGTACCAGTGGCTATAACGTGTGCATTACTTCAAAGGGTGAATGTTTGACCTGCATTATAGTCGTAGTCAAGTTAAATTACAGTATGTCTTAAATCTTAAATGGTAACTGACAGTCAAAACTTATAATGTGCTAAAATGAAATGGAAACAATTGCATGTAATTCTATTGGTTCATGATCAGGGTAACATGTAACACTGTTACCCTCACAATCCATCATAATTACATATATGTTATCTCATTCATCCCTTCATTTCAAACTGGACTTGCTCTGTCTTTGATTTTGGAAGGTACACATGTAACTTAAGGGGTGAGTGGGTTAATATTATTACATTCCAGTATTCATAGTTTGTGTATATTAAATAATGATTTAAAAAATAATGTAACTTTTCATTGTTAGGTCACATAGCATAAAGTACCTATGAGCTTAGGCAGTGGCATAGCATCTGTCGTCTATTTGTCCTTAATCAATAGATGATATCGCAACCAGTGGAACTCTTCAAATAGGAGGGGATTTAACTGTACTCGCTGGGGCAACGGATATATATATAAACAACATGGCCGCGCCAAAACATTCAGATACGAATTTCCACGAACTTCCATGTAATGAATTGGGTAATATTTTGAAGTCAACAGGTATCACCTACTCCAAATAAGAAAAAGGGGGGGCTAGTACACCTATGATAGCAAGCAGACATGTTAAATTGGCCAGATATTTAAAAAGAGGACAAAGCTAAAGCGTCACATTTGTGACGGACCGTCAGCGGCGTACAGAGTATCGTGTGTTAACTTTATGTCAAATGAAATGTCAGAAAGCTTGTTTTGGACGAACAATATGATTGGAATGTCATTACTTAATGCATTTGATGTGACCTCTATTCTTGTGAGTTATTTTGTTGGTTCAATACAGTGAAGGTGGGGCATATTGTTTACACATGGCAGATTGTTTTGCCCCCGTATCCTCGCATTCTCTCGCGAGACTTGTGCATTTTCCGGCAAGAACTCTTCGAAGGGGAGTAACTCGTGGATGGTCGCGATAACATCTATTCTGATGGGTCTTTGATGCCGCCATTATTATCCCCTCGCAACAAGTTTGAGGGGATATAGGATTCCGCCCGTACATATGTTACACTCTTTGTCAACGCTCTAGCGACTTCATTTCGCATAGAAATTTCTTAAGACTCAATACAAGTGTTTGGTATGACAATACCTTGAACAATTTGTATTCCAGGTTACTGCGTTGAAGGTCAAGGTCACTTAATATTTTTAGAAAAACTTTGTCATCACTCTATCGACTTCATTCTTCAACAGAATTTTGTGAAACTTGGTACAATTGTTTGCCATGACAATACCTTCAACAGATGCAGTTGCTAGAGTTGTTACGTCATTGAATTTTCTATTGATTTCCTCATACATTTGGCACACAATGTGTGAATGGGAGGGGATTTGTATCACGTGTGATGCCTTGTTACTATATGATCAACAATGTGAGCTTTGTGCAGTGAACACTTCCTCCCTGGCCAAAACACCACAAAAGATTTTCACATGCTTTACCCCTCATTTGAGATATGGAATAAGGGAGATCTCCCTCATTGGAGGTTTCAGAGTTTGACACCTATGTAATTGTGAACATTTACCTGTGTACAGAGTTTGTAAATATTTTTTATAGTATACATAAGGAGGTGTAGAAGTTTCTTGGTATACAACATCACGTGTAAACAATGATTTTTTTATGGTTACAGGAAATGAAAAAGGCAAAGGAAAATGATAACAAAGACAGTTTCTTAATAGATGGTTTTCCTAGAAACAAGGACAATCTAGATGGCTGGAATAAGGAAATGTCCGAAAAAGTAAACCTGAAAACAGTCCTTTTCTTCAATTGTCCAGAAGATGTAGGTATTAGGATCAAAATAAAATACTGATTTCATTTCTTGAAAAATATGAATGATAATCTTTTCAGAAATTTATAACTGACAAAATACAAAGCAGAAGATTATTTTTCTTTCTCCAAATTGATTTGACAGTAACATGATGATATATTCTATCACTAGTGACTACATAAACATGCTGTAAAAAAAAACTTGAAAGTTAAGGGGTAAAGATACTAACTGATCAGTCTATTAATATCCCGATGTTACTCTGTTTAAGATTTGTGTCGACCGATGCATAGAACGAGGTAAAACAAGTGGACGCTCAGACGACAACAGGGAAAGCCTAAAAAAACGGTATGTTATATGTACAGAGATACAAAACGATATGTCACTAGTTTAACTCAGAAAGTATCATTGCAGTAACATATTCTGGAGTAATTTAAGCTCTTGGAAATCATTGATGTACATTACTAGTAACCCATGGATATATTTACCTCAAAAATGTTTCTAGACCCAACAATAACAGACTGATGATAAGTCTGGAGAGGGTCTTACATTTGAGAAAGAAATATCTGCCAAAGAATACATTGAAATCTGTTATTTTGACCTCATTGATTGACATAAATACTTCTTTCATTAGAGTCTGACAGTGATATCCGAGGGGTGACCCTAAGCACTGTCACACTAATGAATGAAGTATTGGCCAAAAGTCAATAATTCACAAAGTTTTCAAATTTAATACACAGTAGCGACATGGATGCACAATGAATCGCAATGCAAAAACATGACGGCTTAAACGAACCGTACAAGCACCTTCTTTACGCAGTCACTATTCTGTCACACAGCCAATTCTGTCACACAGCCAATTCTGTCACACAGCCAATTTGATAGTGGTAATGTTTGTAATTTTGACAGGATGTGTATTAAAATCCCTTCCTCAATGTTGTTAATATAAGGATAGATATGACCTAATTCATGAATGATGTGTTTTCTCCTACAGGTTACAGACATATACAGAATGCACGATGCCAATTATAGAGCACTACAGAAGTATGAACTTGGTCAGCGAAGTATGTGCAAAAAGATCAGCGGAGGAGGTAGGTATATTAAAATCTGCTGGGGGGTAGTGATGACTGTAATACTTGGTCATTAGTGTTTATATAGAGAGTATTCGTATGTGAATGCTCAATTTATTAGGGCTGCGATGAAATATGATAAATTTATGATAGAACTAATGTGTTGTGTTCTATACATTACACAACTATAGTTATATGTAGTATTTATTACATGATGACCATGTTATGTGATATATGTAAAGTGACTTTAACATGTTATGAAAATCACATGACTAAATGTGTACTGATAGTCCTTGTGTTGTCAGGATTCACACAAGCCTGGTAAAATACTAGCTGTTTCCTACCGACTTGGCTAGGGAGAATTTCTCTTTTGCTAAAATAGTTGTGTGTGAGACTAGTAAACCAGAGGTCCCAGGTTCAACTCCTAGCAGAGGCATTGAGAAATATATTGACCTCTGTTACATTGGTACTCACATAGGGACCTTAGAAGTATTGACAAAATACCTAGCGATACTTTCACAGGAATCACCAAGACCCTTGGAAAACTTGGGACGAGTTCTTTCCTGGAGGGGGAGTATATCACCCTGGTAAAATACTAGCCGCTTCCTACTGACTCGGCTAGGGAGAGTTTCTCTTTAGCTCATTCAGAAGAGCATAAGACTAGTCAGCCAGAGGTACCGGGTTCGACTCCTAGCGGAGGCATTGAATAATAATGACCTCTGTTACAGAAATAATGCCCATACGATGAATCTTTTTCTCAGATAGAACATTTTTTACTTAGAAATAGTCACATACATTCTTTTAATGCTATAAAAAGAATTTACTTCAATTTCCTTAAATGTAATGTTCTAACATAAACTTTTAAAGTGAATATTATTTCATTATATTTCAACTGACTGTATTTCATTTGTACTTTCAGGTTTTTGAAGATGTGGAAAAAATCATATCAGGATTATAATAACAGGCGTTATGTTTAAGAAGAATTAAAGTTGTTGCTTTGCCTACAAAGCTTTCAAGCCATGGCAGTGAGGGATCATTATTAGTTATGTAGATGAGATACTAGTGAACATTAATACTATTTCTAATATAGCACTCTAGTATGTGGAATTGTACAATATTTTTGGTAAACAATTAATTAGCATACAGTAAAACCTAGCTATACTGCCACCATTTGTCAAGATAAATTTTGGCATTATAATGGGGTATGGCAATATATTGAGGAAAGTTTATCAAAGAATTCTTAAGAAAACAAGAAAAAAGTCACATTGAAATATATTGGTGGTAAATGAAGGCGCAAATGAAGCGAAGGGCGTTATATTGCGGAGTTACTGTATGATGTACAGTGACATAGGGTCTCTTATAAATCTTGCCTGTATTTGTGTTTCCAGGCAAGGAATTGTCATGAATATGACACTCTATAGGGAACTTTATAGAGCTGTAGTGGTTCAGTATAAATGTGTTTTACTGTATAAGTACTCAATGTAATTCTTTCTTTCCAGTTTTTTGGATTGTCTTTTTTTCAGTGCCTTCTGCACGGAGTGCAGGGCACATATTACTACATCCTCGAAACTCCAGGGGTTATGTTCACTTTTGCTCTCTGCACCCCTGAAATATTGTCATAACAAAATTGAAGGCACACTACTAGCTATTTGATTGGTCTCGAGTAAAAAACAACTGACCAATCACTTGAATCTTTTGAAGATTACAGAGGAGCAACACCCGAAATCAAAGCCAGTCATTTTACCGTTACACGACTGACAGATATTTTAATGTTACATCAAAGGGTCAAACTAGTCTCCTCGTCTTCTCCATCACATATTCCTGGGGGGCAGATAGTGAAAGTGAGTTTAACCCCTGGAGTATCGAGGATGATATTACAATGTACTAATGTAAGGGCATCTAAAGGCAATGGGAAAAAAGGAAGCTTGCTCTGCACATCATGTTTGTAATCTTGTTTTCTCATTTCAGTAAAGGTAGCCAGGTGAGGGAGACACAGAGCCTACTTATCTTGGTGTCTGTATGAAATAAAGGCTATGTCCACCTAACCAAGTAAAATGACAGTAAACAAAGTTATTTCATTAATCTCTCACTGTACCTTAAGTCTTGTCAGTGTTTCAATCAGAAAAGTGCAACAAGTTTCTAATAAATGGCGATATAATTAATTTTGTCAATAAATGCCTTAATATGCCTGAATAATATAGCCTAATTTTTACAGTCTGAATGGGATAACTTAGATATATCTTGATTTTTAGTCTCAATAAATTTTCTCTATTACTCGTACAGTCTCATGAATTAAAGTAAAATTTAAAGCTCCTAATTTGCTGTGAAAATCTCAAGATACATGTATTTGTCAATAAAATTAGGTACCAGGTCATTATCAAATTCTTTATGTATAGTAGAAGTACCACAGGATAATGAGGCTATCTGACTATTAGATACCGATCACAATTTCTTTTTTTTAATACAATATTATTTACCACAAAAAATACCTATCACCTTTCATTTCTTATGCTTAAGACATTGCAGGAGCTTTTTAACACTCAGGAAAGTTTGAGTATAAATTTTACTTTTACCTTCACGAGTATGTGAATGTAAGAGCTTCATCAAACATATCTATACATTTGACACTCAGTACTAGATTTATTACAATAGTTAAATGCCAGCAAGCTCGAAGGACCATTACATTGCAGTAGATATGTCACTGGGAAGCTACATCCTTCAACAACTTATCTATCCTGAATACTTTGAAGCGTCGGTTTTTATTACTTACAAATTTTGGTATGTCATTTGATTTCTTGTTGGACTTTTTTGAAGTAATGTTATTAACAAACTTTTATCATTCTTGTTTTATTCAATACAGTATTTACCAAAATAGTTATTAGCTTATGGTATGCTATTGGTTTCTGTTATTACTGTGACAATTAGATAATATTATATTTTATTACATAGTGCACGATAATTATCCAAACATTTGAGGGATGACACATACATATATAATACATATATATATTATTCAACACAATCCAGTGAGTGTGGGAACAGTCGTACTCACACACGCCTTACCACATGATCTCTCGTACTTCTATAATTGTTGGTGTTTTTGTATGCTGGAGGTGGTGTAGGTGTCCGTTTTGTTAAGGGTCCATATTTCCAACTACTCATTTACAGTGCCATAACTCCTGAATATTACAGAGCATAAACTGAAATACCCAACCCGAACCATATCATTATTATCTGTAAAATATCTTTTTTTTGTTTTATTTTATCTTTTTCTTCTTATTGTTTAAATTGATATCTGTGGCGATGTGATTGTGTCCTGATAATCTGAATATTAGCTTAGTGTTACTGACATTTTTGTGTAATAATGATATTTTGAAAAAAAATTGTATGATGTTGGTATATTTCAACAATCTTCCTCTCCAGACTCAGAGGTACTACAGTCAATTTCTCTGCATGGATGGAAAGATCATCAGGGGCTTTATCGAAATTGTAAATTTCAGGACCCCCGGGCCATCCATTCTCCTTTTGGGAGGGGTAAAGTTGACTTTAGTTTATATAGGGAAATAATACTTTTGGGTGTATTTTATTCATTTTCAGCAGGAAATTATTCAAACTTGGTTGGAATGATTATGATGCCATATGGCTATTAGATTTTATGAGAAAATAAGATCCTGCCCCATCCCTAGGGGCTGGAGGGGTGGGGCCCAAATTCAAATTATGGTTAAGTGTTAAAAAATCTTCTTCATCAGACTCAGATGTTTTACTGTTCGTGGATAGGAAGGTCCTTACCTAAATTACCCTTACCTAAATTGTAAATTTCAGGGTATATTTTTCAATAGCAAAACAATTATTTTGAATAGTTTTTAAAGTTCTTATCCTTTGGTGACATAACAAGTATTGTATTTCACTTAGTTTACATGTTGTTTTCCACATTTTGTACATCTCAACAATGAAAATGAGCTACAAGCTATATATAGTACCTATACTATAACTCAGGTGACCGCTAAGGCCCTTGGGCCTCTTGTTTATTTTTTATATCAAAGTTTGTCCACGGCATAACTTCCAAACCCTTAGAGTTATCTTTATCAATCTTGAAGTATACCTGCATCACCCATAGTCTATGGGTGATGCATTGGGAGATTCAAAGGTTAGCAGGTCTGCATAGATGATGTGCAGGGTTCTTTTATTATGTAATTGTGACCTTAACCCCAGGGTCAAAGGTCAAAAAGTCTCATTGTTGCAAACATTTAAAGGTGTATGCCAAGGTGTATATCTGCATCACCCACAGACGATGTACAGTGCACTGTTGTTGGGTCACATTTAAATCTGATAGGACGAATGCATTTAACAATACAGTAAAACACAATTACTATGAACACACTTATACCAAATTGTGATAATAACAAAGTGATGATTTTATTTCCCTAGCAAGAAATCTTGCAAACAGGTAATGAACAAAGTTTGTCGACTTCACACAAATTTGTGTATGATCAAAGTAGAGTAATGACGGGGCCTGGATGATTTAGTCTTGCTTTCCAGACGCTTATTATCGGGAATTAAAATACAAATGAGATGTAAGCTGGAGCTTCAACATCTAGATTTCGTAGTTTTATGATCAGTTTACAGGTTTCAACTAGCTAGCCTAGCTGTCATCTGGCTAGCCTAGCTAGATGAAACATGGAAAGTGATAAAAAAAACCTACAGAATCCAGATGAAGCTCCATCTTAAATCCTTTGTATTTACCTTCCTTGATGAGGCTCTTCTGAATACCGATGGTTACATCCAACTTTGATTCATACTACTACCTACCAACAGGACCTTGGTTCTCTCCCTCTCCCATAGGAGTCTCAATAATTGTAGTTATGAATGACATCTTCACTTTTACAGACCTGCCTCCTCACCTCGTCATTGGTGATGTGATCCTTGTCCCAGATGCCAAGGAGGTTTGGAAAACACCTAACCTCCATGGTCTCCTGTGTCTTCTTTATGTCCACTGTCTGTGTCCACATCTCATAATCATACTGAGATGATAAAAGAGCACATCAGTCTTATCTTTGAGCCTTGTATAATGTTTCCGTCACTCAAAACAGTCTTCGTGTTAGGTGTTGTAGTCCGTTCAATCCTAGAGAGTATGCCATGCTTTGACCCCATCTGTTACACATGTACTTGAAGCTGTGGACTGTTCCAGAATTTTGCCATTTACCTTGATGTCCAGTGTGTGCTTTTAATCAGCATTGACTTTGCTTGGAATATGGCACGTTAGGTAGATGGTGTGATAGTTTTAGAACTATTGTAGCTTAATCGTATTTCTGGAGGAGGGTGATGACAAGTGGAAACTTTGTATCCAAAAAATTTCTCATTTTCAAACTATTTGATGGGACAGATAGACTACCAGTATAACTGCCTCATCATTTAAAAAAAAAAAGGAAATGGTTACCGTTATATCCGACAATATCTCGGGGTCCTGAAGCCAAAGTCAATGCAACTTTTGAATGAAGATGTTTGTCATGTCAACACCCTCCTCATTTAGAGTAAGATTTTGATGAAACTAAACTAGATTTTCAGTACTAAGTCAAATCAAGAGTTCATGTTTCAGGGTCCTGTTGTGGCATAGAACTCCATGTCTCACACATTGTCTAGCTAACCGCACTGAATCAAATGCACAAATGCATCGATTCCTATATATTGTTTTTGTTTTAGTTTTGATGTCATGTACTTTGATTATGATTATTTATGCATTACTTTGATAAAGTATCCTGATTAATGATTATTATGTAAATAAAACACAAATGTGCAATTTTCTGTTTAAGTTTTTTTTTTAACCTCACTTGGCCTGCAGGACCAAATGAGATTATGCTGTAGTGCAACATCTCTGGCCTGCCGTCGTCAACATTATAATTTATCATATTTGGATAATTTACCCCAACATCGAATGGAGTGCATCTGAGTTAGCTGCGGGAACCATAGCTTCTGGGCTCGGATCTTTTTATTATAATTAGCTCACCTGCTCGAAGGGGTAAGTGAGCTTATGCCATGGCGCAGTGTCCGTCGGTCAACTTTTCCTTCAAAACGCTACTTGTCCTGAACGGCCCAGTAGATTTAGACTAAATTTGGTCTGAAGCATTCTTGGGTAAAGGACTCAGAGGTACTAATAAATGGTGGGTGTGGCCTCCCTGGGGGCGGGGCCCAATAGGGGATATATAACGAATTCTTTAAAATCCTTCTTCTTCTGTAGGAATCAAAGCATTTGTTCCATGTTTGGTCTGAATCATCCTTGGGTAAAGGGGAACCAATTTTGTATAGGTAGTAGGTGTGGTCTCCAAGGGGACGGGGCCCAATAGGGGAAATAGAGGTTAATCTTTAAAATCGTTCTTCTACCATAGGGATGAAGGGATATCTTCCCAATTTGGTCTGGAGGATCTTGGGCAAAAGGGATGCAATTTTGTATAAACAGCGAGTGTGGCCCCCCTGGGGGCAAATAGGCGGGGCCCAATAGGGGAAACAGCAAATTCTTCAAATACCTTCTTCTGTACGAATGACAGGATTTTGTCCAAATTTGGTATGAAGCCTCCTTGGGTGAAGGGGAACCAATTTTGTATAAACGGTGTGTCTAACCCCCTGGAGGCAGGGCCCAATAGGGGAACTAGAGGTAAATCCTTTTAAATCCTTCTTCTACCATAGGGATTAAGGGATTTTATCCTAATTGAGTCTGGAGCATCCTTGGGCCAAGGGGACTCAATTTTGTATAAACAGTGGGTATGACCTTGCTTGAGCATGAGAACGGTTTCATGAGTATGGGCCGAGGAGTGCTATAAAAAACATCTAGAAGTTACATACATAAGTAAGCTATTGGCACTGTTTTAACATAAAAAATAAAATTGAACTCCCGTTTTTAAGTCGGTAGTTAGCATAATTTTCATAACCATCTGGGTAAACACCATGTCACCCTATATGCACACGAAGATCGATGACCTCTATGAACATTCTCTAGTAGATGCAATGTATGTTTGTATTGGTAAACCTATCTTTTTGTGTTTCTAGAATAATCGTTACACATGTAATACAAAGCATCGTTAAGTAATGCTATTAATGACATTGGGCTCTATATAACTGTTGATAATAAGTCAACAGAGAAATGCTGCATGATTTAATATTTTATTGTCTGTTACTAAAGCTGGACAAAACAAAACAAACACGACCTGCCGCACAAAAATCAGATTTAATGTATCAAAACAATTCCATTCTTAAAAATATATCATCCTTTGTGATTACATTTATTGTCTCTTTTTTTCACGATTTATATTTTCATACTTAGCTGAATAGAGCTCTGCAAGTTTCTGGTCAGCTTGAACTCCTAGACCATCTTTGTACTGACGATAGGCAAGAGCACAACCTAGCCCTTCTCCGTTCTCACACGCCTTAATGAAATAAGGTAAAGCTTTCGCCTCATTTTTGTCAAAGTTTAAATTTGTGGCTCCGTATAAGTACGCTGATCCAGCCTTCACACAGCCTTCTGAATTGTTCATTTGGCAGGCTTTTTCATAGTAGTCCACTGTTTTGCTGAAGTCTTTCATTTTCATATCACTGTCATCCCGGAACGGGATTCTGGTATGCGCTGGGTGAAAAAAAGCTGCGAGTAGCATGCAAGCACCGGCACACTGGTATTGGCACCCCTTTTTTGCATACTCTAGAAATTTCTTCGTGTCTTTACGCAGTTCACCTGTACAATAACAATAAGATTGTGATAAGAATGATGTTGGCACATTATTAAAGATGGGTTGCTAATCATTTTTGTTCTGGTACAGGATTCTTCACCGGACTCAAAATCATACAATACATAGAACATAATAATAATATAGACAAAATGTGCAATGAAATATAAAATTTAACAACCCCCCACCCCACCCCAGCATTCACACATTGTGACATATGAAAGAGAAAATTAAGTTGCTAGAGTGTTGACAAACTTTAAAAAAATAAATAGTAACAGTGACCTTGACCTTCAACTTAGAAACCTGAAACAAAACAATTGTTCAAGGAAATACCGACATAGCGAACACTTTTATGAAGTTTCACGAAATTCCATTCAGTAATGAAGTCGTTAGAGTGATGACAGTAATGACAAAGATTTTTCTAAAAGATAGTAACAGTGACCTAAAATTCGGTTGAGGAATTGAGTCGCTAGAGCGATGACAACATTTTTCTAAAAACTAGAAAATGTCTGTAAGACATACATGCCCCCGCTGCCATGTGAAATTAGTTTCAGTGTTCTTGATACCCTGAAACATGCACAAACACAAGGTACTACACTTAAAGTTGATAAGTTGATTTTAATAAAAAAAAAATCTGTATGTTATTACCATCCTGAAACACAAGGATGTCAGAGGCAAACCCATATTTGACCTTTATATTAAGTTGGACAAAAATCTGTGAAAGAATGAAGTTGCTAAGTGTTTAAATTGAATCAGTTGATGATTTTCTATATATAGCAACAGTGACCTTGGCCTTGACCTTGAAACCCTGAAACACAACAAGAGGCCCAGAGGGCCTGTATTGCTCACCCGAATATTTAAGCAGTCGATCATAGCAAAATATTCTCATTAAATATTATAATGCACTACAAATATTTCCCTCCCAAACTTTGTCCGCTCCATCTGTTGAAACTACCAGCCAAATATTATTATAAGATTCTATGCTTTTTGGTTCTTCTTCAGAAGTTGTTTGACATATTTTTCCCTGTGACTTTGTAAGTAGGTCAATGTCTTTTTCTTTCTCAAACTTTGTTAGCTCTATCCTAAAAAGCTACCAGCCAAATCTTCCTTTTGGTTCTTCTGAACAAATTCCTTGAAATGTTGTTGACCTCTGCGACCTATAAATTAGGTTGAGGTCATTTTCATTTGCAAACTTTGGTGAGCGCTATCCCAGGAATCCACCAGCCAAATATTATAATTTTATGCCTTTCGATTATAACATATTTGACCCATATGACCTTGAAAGTAAGTCAAGATCATTTTCATTCTCAAAATTTGTCGGGCTATTTCCCAGGAAGCAACCAGCCACATATGAAGATTCAATACCTTTTAGTTCTTCAGAAGAAGTTGTTTGAAGCGTTTGACATATTTGACCGCTGTAACCTTGAAAGTAGGTAAAGTTCATTTTAATTCTCAAACTTTGTTGGGCTCTATTCCAGGAAGTCACCAGCCAAATACAAAGACTCTGTACTTTTCAGTTCTTCAGAAGAAGTTGTTTAAAGAGTTTGACATATTTGACCGCTGTGACCTTGAAAGTAGGTCAACAATCGGTTTATAATTTTTCGTGACTGAATACTCATATAAAGTGAGAACACTACCATCACATCAATAGACAGAGTTGTTCACTGTACATTAGGTTTCATTCTTTTATAATGAATGGATATCAAGCAACTTTTGCACATTTTTATCAATCATATAGTATAAATCTTAAAAATATGACTTTCAAAGCATACTTTACATGGAAGACAAACCGGTCAATTTTAGATTATAATGGATCATCAGCCCATCACTAGGGACAGGGCCTAGTAATTATAAGTTGTAAGAAATTGTGCCCAATCTCTTTGACTGTTAAATGTCAATAAAATATGTTTGAATGAATGAACAACTTTGCTCACTATCCCAGTATGCTACCTGCCTAATTCTGTGACTCTTGGCCACCTATTTATTTGGAAGAAGATGCTAAAAGTATTTTAACATATTTGAAAGTGGGTCAGGTAATTTATTTGAGCAATTGTGGTTGATCTTCATCCCAGCATGTCACTAAATCAATATCCCAGGCCTCTTAGTTATTCAGAATGTCAGACGCCTTAGCCAAGTGGTTAAGGCGTCTGACATCCTGCTACCACTAGCCCTCCATCACTGTGTCGCAGCTTTGAGACCTTCATGGGGCAGTCGCCAGGTACTGGTCGTAGGTCGGTGTTATTTCTCCTGGAACTCTGGCTTTCCTCCACCAACAAAACCTGGCACGTTAATGGATAAAATATACTCAAAGTGTTATTTCCCTATATTAACTACCTGGTATAGTAAACTTTTTCCCCTCCCCAAGGGGAAACGGATGGCTCGGGGGGTCTAGAAATTGACATTTGCCCACCCTGGCCCCTAGGGTTGGGTTGGAATCCCAATTTTATAATTTGAAAACCATCTTCCTCCAAGGATGATTCTCAAACAAGTAAGAATAATTTCCTACAGAAAATTGTCAAAATATACACAAAAGTGACATTTCCCTATACCTAAAGTATCATCAAGATATCTTTAACAGCAAAGCTCAGGTGACCTAAAATTGTGTTCAAAGAAAAACACCACACTATGGCATAAGCTCACTAAATTGCCCTTCTGACAGATAAGCAAAAAACTAACCTCTTGCAAAAAAGAAATAGTTGCTAAGGTAAAAACAACTAGGCCCATGGTTGTATGTTTCGCAGGTGTGCTGGTATAACTTAGCAGCTTTGTCTCCACGGTCATCGATTTGACTGAACATGTTACCCAGGGCGAAGCAACCTGCAAAATAAATAATGACCAAATTTGAAAAACATGGATTTCAATGAAGCAAAAGTATAAGAACAATGTATCGTTTATCAACATGAATGGATGTTGACATCAAGGAATGACATGGTTTGATATTTTCTGAGGTATTTGTGTGGTGCGGAATGCAATGCTTTGTTTATAGTAAGTCGTCATTACAATGCAGTAGCGTACAATATAGTTGACACCCAGTAAACAATAGTACACAGTACTGAGAAATGTGTATGTAGTGAATTTATGAGAAATGCATTTTGCAAATATCATATGTACTTCAGAAATAAAGCTTCCCATCATCAAAATGAAAATGGACTAGCCCAGCGGCAGCGACACGAGACCAGGTGACTTTGAGGAGGTTATACATGGAGCGTATATGGAATGGAGACCGATGCGTCTTTGAACCGGCTTCACATGTACTTATCACATATATGAACAAGTACATGAGGCTATCACGATTTTTTCCTGTCTAGCACATTATGCGCTGTCGAATAAATCATTCTGCAAAGTGAAGTACGCCAACTCTGTGAAAATAAGGTTTTTCATAAAATATAAAGATCCCTATGAAAAAGCCTTTATAGGTGCCCCCGAGAATAGAATACCTGGTACCATGCAACAGCCTCTGGTTACATGTGATGTACCTGCCATATATAACAAGAGGCCCAAGGGCCTTAGCGATCACCTGAGTTATAGTATAGGTACCAGCAGCTCAATTTCATTGTTGAGATGTGATGTGGAAAGCAACATGTGAAAAACAATACTTGTCATGTCACCAAAGGATAAGAACTTTAAAAAACTATTCAAACATTTTTTTTTGCTATTGAGAATTATACCAGATGACCTGGGGGATTATGAAATTTACAATTTAGGTAATGGTAATTTTAGTAGGGACCTTTCTATCCATGAACAGTAAAACATCGGAGTCTGATGATGAAGATTTTTTAAATTTTAACCATAATCCCCATTCGGCCCACCCCTCCAGCCCCTGGGGATGGGGCAGGATCTTATTTTCTCATAAAATCTAACTGCCATCTGGCATCAAAAACATTCCAACCATGTTTGAATAATTCCCTGCTGAAAATGGACAAAATATACCCAAAAGTATAATTTCCCTATATAAACTTTTCCCCCTCCCCAAAGGAGAATGCTTGGCCCAGGGGTAATAAAATAAAATAGATTAAGCACCCGACAGAATTTTCATCCATGCACAGAATTTGATTGCACTACAAGCAAGAATAATTTCCTACTGAACATTGCCAAAATATACCCAAAAGTGTTATTTCCCTATATAAACTATAGTAAATTTTACCCCCTCCCAAAAGGAGAATGGATGGCCTGTGGGTACTGAAATTTACAATTTAAACAAAGACCCTGATGATCTTTTCATCCATGCAGAGAAATTGACTGTAGTACCTCTGAGACTGGAGAAGATACTTTTTTGAAATATTGGTTAACTTTCCCTTTGGGCCCCCTTCTGGCCCCTGGGGTTGGGGCAGGAATTCCAATTTTAAAATTTGATACCATTTTCCTCCAAGGATGATTCTTACCAAGCAAGAATAATTTCCTACTGAAAATGAACAAAATATACCCAAAAGTGTTATTTCCCTATATAAACTATAGTAAATTTTAACCCCTCCCGCCCTGGCCCCTGGGGTTTCCCAATTTTACAATTTTGTAGCCACATCCATCTACCAAGAATGATTCTGACCAAATTTGAAAAATTCCATCTGCTGGTTCTTAGAAGTCGAAAAAATAAAAAGTGTACGCAGGATGGACGACGCAAAGCTCAGGTGACCTTAAAATGCAAAGCCACACTGGGATTTGAACTGGTGACCCTCTGAACTCTCATGATCATAATCCCATGATGTTAACATTCCATCTTTTTTTTCAAATATAGCGTCAGAATTCAATCTAAGAGTTGGAGGGTCCCAGGTTCGAACCCCGGTCTGGCCATGCATTTTTCTTCTCCTAATTCATATGACACCCAACAAAATATATCCACGGAAGGTGGTATGTGGTCTTGTGTGTCTCCTGGGTTGAAGACTTTGTTAAAGGCGGGAGGACTATCGCAGAAAAGGACTGGTTCAGTTGCCAGCTCAATCAATTGGTTAGTGTCTGTCTTGAGTTTAAAGGGTCCCGGGTTCACACGCAAGTCTGGCAGTGCATTTTTCTTCTACACTTGTTAATTTTCTGTTTACACCAATGTCCAAAAATAGCCATAATATTATGCACACAACTCCCTTCTTTTAATCCCATTGCTACTACCAGCCCATTAGCCAATCACTGAGGCACTGTTTGGAAACCTTTAACAACCTGCAACCTGCATGCTGCAGAGTACTCGAGAGAGGGCGCTGCAGTATACAAAGACAGTTAGATATAGAAAGTACATTTTGTATGAAGCCTCCTAATGTAAAATGGTTTGGTATTAATTGTCAGTTCTTCAATATCCTCATAGATGTTAACTTAAGTGTTTATGTTCACTAATCAGTCAGCTAACGGTGATATACTTTCAGCGATTTGCAAATAGTCTGGCAACCGAAACAGGTCTTCAAATGATTCATCGACGTTTGGTGCAGCATTGTTAGCTTGATGCTTAAGCTTATGTAACGAAAGGTCGGTCTTTACCAGGGGCTGGTTTTACTATCTGCAATAAGTTTTGTATTCAACCTAGACCTAGCTGTTACCACGTGTGGCAGTATAGGGTCATCCTGACTAGTACTAGGCCTACTAAGTCTTTGTACGCTATAAATGCAGGACCGAGACTCTGTCTGCACAGCTTAAGGTGACAGTACCAAAATTGGATCACCAAACCATCATTTTATTAAATCATTGAAAAATCTGATGAGGAATTATGTTCATTTATGGTTGCATCAAAGGAAGAATATCGATGGGTGTTCTTACAAACGAAATTAGCACCCGGGGCTCACTCGAGATATTTATAGAATGCTCTGAGGTCACCAATCAGCGTCTCTGGTTTTTGCGAATGTCAGGACCCAAATCGGATCAAGACTTGAATTTTGCAGTATCTTACGCTTCAAATGAATATTTTTTTGTCAGCATATTAACATTTTCTGATGACCTTTAGAATTTGTATGATAAGAAGTATTTTTATAGTGTGAATTTATTCCTCTAGTCCATAACAGAATTCATAGTTGTCGCACGCGCCATCTTTTAAAACATGATCAAAACAGACATTTGAGTTTGAATTCTATGTATCTATCTATATGTTATACTCCACAGAGACCAAAATGACTTTAAGGCGGAGGGGGTTAAGTACGCGTGCGATACTTATCTTTGTTTAATCCCGGTTGGTAGTGATTGATGTTTTAATTGCCTCTATTCCTTGCGCCCCAACTGTGATGTCATCCAGGTGGTTCCAATCTGTGGAAAGAATGAGTTTCTGTATTGTTCCGTGTTGCTGTTGGGTATTATGACTGCTCTGTTATTGTTCCCGATTGAATTTGGAATTGGTCTTGATGTCTCGCAGTCCTGGAATATACGCCCTTGTGTTTTCCTTTTTTCATGTTGGAAATTAAGAAAGTCTTGCCTAGGCATTGATGGAATTTGTTCGCTTCTATTTTATAATAGAATGTTAGTCTCTGTTGTTTTCATTTTGATGCTAGTGGTGGAAGTTGTAGCTCTTTGAGTACCCGGTTAGTTTTGTCATGAATCCCTCTACCCTTGTTCTGTAATCCTTCTGGATGAAACGCGCCCCTCTCCGTCAGATGCTTTCCAATTTATTAATGTTCGTCTTTATGTACGGGTCCCAGATTATTGCTCCATATTCTAAGATGGATCTGACAAGAGCAATGTGTGCAGTCTTTCTACATTCTCTGGGGCAGTGTTGTAGGTTGCATCGTAGGAAGCCTATAAGGTAGAACTGGCCTTTTTTGTGGTACTTGTAATATGTTCTTTCCACTTCATATCCCCCGATAGTTTTAATTCTAGGTATGGGTTTGTCTGTACGTGATCTAAGTTATGTCCATTAAGTTGGTATGTGTTTTGCTTTTTCTTCTTAATACAAAGAATGTAACATTTTTGGCATTAAATTTCATCCCCCAGTTTGCAGCCCAAGTTTCGAGCTGTTTAAGGTCGTCTTGAAGTGTTTTCGTGGTCCTTGTTTGAGTTTATTTCTCGATAGAGTAGGCAGTCATCTGCGAAAAGTCTAACTGTTGATTTCACAGAGTCTGGCAAGTCATTTATATGGCAAAGGAAGAGCAGGGGTCCTAGTACTGTTCCTTGTGGTACTCCTGACTCAACCGCTGCCACTTCAGAGTTCTCCCTCTATGGCTACCCGCATCTTCCTGCGTGTTAGGAAGGTTTTTAGCCATTGGTGCAGAGGTCTTCTGATCCCATATGAATCCAGCTTGTACAGTAGTCTGTCATGGGGAACTGTGTCAAAGACCTTGGAGAAGTCAAGTATTGCCATGTCCACTTGTTTGCCACTGTCAAAAGATCTTTGCCGTATGATTCATCTCGGACCCCTCCATCATGATCCGATCTAGATATCAATTTATAAGATGGAGAAAAAGACGTATCTTCTTCATTATTTTATGTAACAAGCCACCCACAGTAACACCCGAGAGACTCCGGGCACATGCCAACGAGACACTCCGATTTGGTTTGTTTACTTTCGGTATCGGAAATTGCAAATTCCCATTCGCCCTTGTGATCTTTTTCAATGGATTATGTACAGTTTTTCAGGTAAAACCCATCATACACCACCATCCCCCAAAGATCTTTGACATTGGTAGCAGCATATGCAATTTTGACCAGCCCATGTAACTTATTGCTGCATATAAACTCCAGAAACATCACGGCCACTGCCCATTCATGTTTATTCCATCCAAACGTGCAAGCAAATTGTATCTTTTATACCTTACCATCTTGGTTATCATACAATCATCAGATTGCCAATTGAATCCCGGCCCACATTCAGTTCTTCTCCTATTGGAACAGGGAGACGCCCCAGCCTAAGTACA